CTCAGGGCTGCTCTCAATCCATTCATCCCCCTGCCTATATTTGTGCTTGGGATTGCACCCATGTGCAGGACCCTAACTTGGCTCAAACTTCAAATTACTTTGCTTTAGGTGATAGATCTGTGTTTAAGATGGAATGTGAACAAGATCTCATAGAACCCAATCCAGTAATCTTTTTGCTAGGACACCTTTCCTGTGGTAAAACTTCATTTTAGAGAACAGAAGGAAAACACTTGTTTCCCTCCCTCATAAACACTTCTGGCCTTAGATACTTTATGTGAAGGTCAGAGAGATGCAGAGAGGGATGTTACTGCAATGCTCATCTGCATTCTTCAGAAAGGCAAGGTAAAGGAAAAGATTGAGACACTCAGCACTTGTTTACTTCTGAATAGAGTGAAAACTGACAGCCTCATGTCTTACAAGTTTGAAGACTTTTGAAGATGTGTACATCTGGTGCTTAGGGATGTGGTTTAGTGGTAGAATTGGCAGTGCTGCGTTAATGGCTGGACTCGATGATCTTAGAGGTGTTTTCCAACCTAAATGATTCTATGATTACTTCCAGGAATACTAGATGTTAGAAAGAAAAACCTATGGAAATGTAACTATTAAATTGGGTGTGTCCCTTTAAAAGCTGGGAAGGACAACAGTAGAGGATTTGTCTGAGATGATGCTACAGATGCATCTTTAACTGGTCAGCTAGTGGTAGGTATCCAACCTACGTCAGCAGTGATGGGCAGCTTCCCTATAAAGCAGTTACAAAGTCTGAGAATACCTGGTGTTACCTGTAATTACATCCCAGACAAAAGGAACAACCTGGGAAATTCATCTCCCGGTCGATGTTATGAAACAAGCTGAAACTCACAATGGAGACAATAATTAATGTGAGTATCATTCCAAGTAATTTTAGATGGTATTCTCACCACCCAGTGACATGTGATGCTAAGACCTGGAACCTGAAGGAGAACAACATGTGCAGCATGTAATCCTTTTCAAACTGATGCTCTATTTTGATCACTTCTCCATCAAGCAGAAAGTAAAAAACTTTTCTTGGCATGAGGGGGAAAAATATAAAGTGAAAATCTGTGAGTAGGAAAGAACTGTTGGTACTGAACTTTGGTGTCCTTTAGATCTCAGTTGTGGTCCCTTCTAGTTTATGTAAGGGGAAAATGCTATTGTGTCAGGTAACATTTTTTGTCCACTCTGCTCTCCCTTTACCTGAATGTAACCAACAGTGTCATTGACAGATCACAGAGAAAGTGTGTCTGTGGTCACTGACTGAAGCTTAATGCCAGGATGCCCATGAATACCAGGAACCTTTCCTGCATCTTAAATTTAAGAAGATGCAGATACTATTTGATAAGTGAACTCCTCCTCTTTCTTTGACTTTCCATCCCTTCCCTCCCAGTCACACACTGTGCTGACCAAACCCAGCACAAGGAGAACAGGTATTGACATTCCTCCTGATAAAAATTTCCAAATTAAATCTATCATAAAAATGAAAATATGTGCTGTACTAGTGACAGATGCAGCCCACTCTCATTAAGTGGCTCACCTACACTCAATGCTCTGTATTCACACAGCCCCACAAAGACCTTTTAGCAGAGGATGGTGTTTTCTAACATCATGCAGCTCTCATGACGTGGTGGTGCCTTGGACAAATGCACTAGCTGAGAGCCCTGCTCCATTCAGTATATGTAAGCATGTTTCCATAGAGGCTGCTTGCTTTTGGCTTTTACTCTAAAAGACAGCTGGAAAAATTTGTGTGGATAAAGAGTGAGAAGAAGTCCACAACAGTGCTGAAAAAGTATCCTCTTATTTGGGCTTACAGTGGAATTTGTATGAATACAAGGAATCTGTCCCAGGGACCTAAGAGCTTATAGCAGCACAGATAAAAACTTGCATTTAAAACATAATATCCACTACTCAATGAGTATATAAGGAGCGATGCAATGCAGAATAGGCATTAGGAATTCATGGGACTACTGTGAAATGTATAAAAATGTGATTACATGGTAACAAATGAAAGAGAAAAATACGTAGCAAAAGCAAACAGTATTTCAATTAAAAGCTTTGTCTCAAGGACCATCAGCAAGTGGACAACACATAAGGAAATAAATCTTACCTAAGATTATAGGCTTCTTCTCAAAGAAGGTCCCAATTCATCAGCATGAACACAGGCTCAGTGATAGAGGAACATTAGTTTTTTGTCACTAACATGATGCTGTTTTTATAAAGCATACCTAGACATTAATACTAAATTGTTATAATCTATTTGAGAGAATACATCTCTTTCTAATACAAAATTACTGTCTTGTTCTGTAGAGGATAAAGTAATGTGAAAGGATAAACCCCTACTGGGTTTGCTGCCATCAAGCTGTGCACTACGAGCTTTTCCCAGATAATTTCTTCTTCTTGTCCTTCCCTCCAGCATTTAATCTGTAGCCATTGCCTTTGAAAGGATTAAAGCACACTTGTACATGTGATGTTTCTATTTTCTAAGTGTTAGACCAGGACAACACCACAAAGATGTGCACCTTACATTATATCAAACTTTACCTTCTGTTGTTCAAAATGTTAAACCCCAGTAAAAGGATTACATGATAGTCTAGTCTGAAATACCACAGAAAATATCAGGTTTGAGCACAAAGAATTATTGCCTAGCTTTGTTGTAATCCTTGAGAAGGTTTCAGTAGGAGTTCTGTATTTAACACTCACCTTAACCCTTATACTAAACCTCCTGTAACAATGCCTGGTTTTGAACATATTCATTAGTAACTGGCCAAAACAGCATTTCCTACCTGCCACATCAGTCCCAAAAGAGCAATGGCAATAGATGGATTCGTGATGCATCAAATAATGAAGAGAAAGCCACCAGAAGAAAATCTTGGCCTTCCTAACCTCCATGCATGCTGGGCAGATTCCAGGGAAGAGAAAAATGCGGCAAACAGAACAGGATTGAAGGGCACTGGCCTCCCAGACTCTCTTTCCTTCTCCAAGTAACTCAGATGTTTTAGATATGTGAAAAGTGTCTTGGCTGCAGAGTGCAAGTCTTTCAGAGCCCCTGTGTGTGTCCCCACTAACTCCATTTTCTGGGAGACCAGTTTCTTCCTCCTAATTTCTGCTGCAACCTCCTGCCTCCCTACATCTTAAACTCAGACCCTGCCTCTACTCAAAGAAGTCAAGTGCCCATCCTGAATTAGGTTTGCTGTAAACAATGAAGCTGTGGGAGGATTTTCCTTAATTGTCCTTGTTAAAATTCATATGGTACTTAATTAAAGTAGAATACTTAATTAAGTATGATATTAATTAAAAGCTTGCCTATCTGAAACCATTGAGGAACCAAGACAAAAACAATCCTTCCAGAAACATGTCCAGATGCAAAGCAAGGAGGGGACTCCACATGGATCTGGTTTTTTGCCTGGCCTCTGCCACTGATTCACTTCAATAATTTCTGCAAGTCATTTATTGTGCATCAATGTGCTTATTGATGGAGGAAAAACAGTGTTTATTTCCTTTCACAGAGTTGTCCTGAGTCTGACTAACCGCCCTTTGTGCAAATCTTTGGATGAAAGAAATCTTTGGAGTTCTAAGCTCTTAATATATATTACTTAGTGTACTTTAAAACAGTCATCACAATAGGTAGGAATTAACATTCCAAAGCCCATAGGGTGGATACCTTTTCCTATGTATATATATAAAGTCATCAAGGGACCTGCCTCAGAGGAAGGACAACCGAATACAGGTGAGTCTGAATTCACTTACAGAATATTTATTTAGAACCAGAAGCCTTGACTTGTTTTGATTTAGCATTTTGCCAATATTGTGATTGCTATGGTGTTTCTGTATAAGGTCTGTGAGGTTTTTGTGATGGGAGTGGAGTGAAAAAAATTCCTGCATGTGGAAAGAGCTACATCCTGTAGCTTTCAATGGGGACACAGATTCATTTCATAGATGTTGGATCAAACTGTATTTATCTGGGCTTGTGAATACTTAGCCTTAGTGTTAGAGCTCAAACAGGGTGTACCCTGATCTGGCCATGGGCATTGCTGGCCTGAAAAAGCTTAGTCAGGACAAGAGAGTCTTTCCAATGATACTGGTGGATTATTTGTGTTTCTGCATCCATATAATCTGGTTTGCAGTAGAAATGCAGTCTAGAGAAATGGTCACATGCTATTACAACTAATAAGGTTTTAATGTTTTAATGTTTAACTGATAATGCTAAACAGGATTAGTGTGAATTGCCTACAAGATTCGTGGTGTATTTTGTGTTTGAAATCTTCTTGGGAAAAAAAACCCCAAATATTTGTAAGCCATAAAAGCTGCTCAGTTTAAATGTGTTTATCAGCAAGGCAAATACAGTCAATTTTTTTTGCATTTGATAGCTATCATCTGGTGATATTTTGGAATTTTATGAATAGGCACAATATACACATTTATTAGTAAAGTGGTTATCTGCCAGTATCACACAGAGAAGTATTATTTCACCAGATAAATGTTGGAGTTGCCTTGCATGTTCTTAGCAGAGTATTAAGGATCATAGTTCTTGATTTTTGAAAACAAGTTTTTCCAAGAGCCAAGAAAAAATCCTTTTTGAACAGGGGGGCAGGGGTTGTGTGCACTTTATAGCACATTAGACTTCAAACACCTATAAAATTAAAGCAAAGTTAGTGGATGTGCCCATCATAAAGACACACTATGGGCCTTCAGGAGGGGCTGTATGAGCAAGCAACTGGCTGGGGCTTGCTCATGACAACTGGCTGGGGCTAAAAAAGGCCCCTGCTAGTCCAGGGAACCAACCCTGGTCCCAACCTCCCTAAGGGGAGTAAGTTCCTCTGCTTCCCAACCCCTCTTCAGCTAAGGCCATCTCTGTCTGGTGCCTCAGGGTGGAAGCTTTTGGCATGCCAACTTTGCTAGAGTGCTGCTGAAAATCATCAGTAATTTCTTCATGTTTTGCAAACCATGTGTTTCCAGGTCTCCTGGGACAGCTGAGGAGAGCCCTCACCATGATCCCTGCACTGCTGTTGCTGGGTCTTTCAGCCCTTGTTGGTAAGACAGGTTTGGGTCGCTGTCAAAAGCAGACTGGGATTGTTTGTGGAAGGGCCTTGGAGTGGAAGTGCAGTAGGCCTGAGGCTCCCTTCCTGCATGGCTCTGTAAGATCTGGTGTGGCTGAAGGTCCTCAGCTGCTGTATGAGGCTGCTTGCTGCCCACATGTGCCTTTTAAAGCAGACCATCTGCAGGATGAGACTGAAACCAAGGGAGTCACAGCCATGTCTCCTCTTGGTTTTCCCAGCTAACCTTATCAAATCTCTCTGCCTTCTCAGAAATGGTCTCACAAAAGTGGCAATCTGTTTGATGGTGGCTATTTGTCCCCCAGTTACTAGGGAAATATAGAAGTTTTCCCAGACTGAGGCAAGCATTCTCCTGAATTAATTCCTCACCAAGTTATCAAGGGACACAGCAGACAATCCCAGCCAGGGTGCTCAGTGACCACCAGCTATCATCTGAGTGGTTCCAAACAATGAGGGGCATTGGATGGGAACTGCCCTCTGAAATAAATGCAGAGGCTCTGGTTCTCCTCTCCCACACCAGCCTCTAGACCTAACAGGGCAGGTGCATGTTCACCTAAACAGTCATTACATCCATTTGCTTCAATATTCAACTAGAAAAGAACCAATTTCTGTTCTCCACCTTTCTTTGATAACATTACTGATGGAGACCAGTGGACCCCACACAAGCAGGGCCAGCACAAGGGAATGTGGGTTGCAGGCCTGGGCTCTCTCATGCTTGACTTGAACAATACTGCTCTGAGACCTTCTGTGTTCAAACACTTCTGTTTCATATTTCAGCTCCATCCCTGAGTTACAGTTGCTATGGTGATATAAGTGCTCTTCAAGCCCCCACGATCTCCTGTACACCTGTAAGAGCCTCTGACTGTGGTATGTATCATTCACTGCTTGATTTGTCAACTTGTTTGTACCTGACAGAGAGATGCCTTACCTCCTGCCATTGCCAAACTAAATGTGGTGCAGCTATTCAAACAGCCAAAAGGGAGAAAGCAATACTTCCTCTCCCAAAAGAGCAGGTGAAGCCTCCAGACCTGATGGGAAGTGGAAGGACAAACTTCATGTCCCAAATCAAGATCTTTGGCCTCAAAGCAAAAGGAAATAGTACCACCTCTTTTCAGTTAAAACAGCCTCTTCATCAGCCAGGACTTTAGCATCAGCCTCCTCACTAAGGCTTGTCTGCTCCCAGGGTAGGATACACAGAGCCAGGTCCTGAGTGCTGGCATGTTGGCTGAGCTGGCCAGTGCTTCACGTTTCTCTCTTTCTTGCCTGCAGTTACTGCCTGGTGTGAGCACAGAGCTGACTGTGTCACGTTCCTACTGCTGATATTTCCATGTTTCTTGGATGTAGGCTTTGCCAGGGAAGACACCTGACTGTGAGAGTTCAAGCGTAGATATGAACCTGCTTGCTTGTTTCCAAACTGTTCCAAATTTGCTTTTAAAAAGCCCCCACTTTCTAGAGATAGAACATAGCTGTTACTGCAATGTGGACAATCTGTAGTAACACACCCTTCAATTTTTTCAAATCCATTTTGAAACTTCACTTCTCTGACTCCAGAGGTATTGGAATAATACCAATATAGATGGATGGAATGTGCCTGGGCTCGTCTGGCCCTTGCTGCTTGACCAAAAGGTAGCAACTGTGGTGGTTTCACCTCAGAGACACCTTTGGCTAGCTGGATGCTGCAGCTGGCGCTTGGGACAAGTCCAGGCTTGCAGGAGCTCAGGTTTACCCTGGCAGAGAAGCTTTAAGGCGAGGATGAAAGAAAGGAGTTGGTTCTGATGGAGGGTTTCGATCCAGAGCTTTATTCCTGGCACACAGGCCTCTGAATGCAATAACAGCTCCAACAGGACTCTGAACTGTGTGGTTGTTGTTCCTTTTAACCCGGGGAGAGTGGGAGGGAAGGGGCAGGAGGGACCACCAACCAGGTAGGGGGGAAGTCTCAGGAGACAAATGACACCTGGATGGCCCAATGTCTCTCCAGGGGTGAAAGGCATCTTTTGAATTCTGCCAATCATTTGATGCCCTTCTGGAATGCCAGGACTGACAGACAGCGCTCAGCAGGGGTCAGGGTGTGGAAAGGAGGGATGATTGACACACCCGGCAGGGAATTATCAGGGAGGAACCTGGAGTATCTGAGGCAAACCATGACATCACGCTGCAACACAGAGGTGCAGCAGAAGAAGAGGACCATGCATTCCACCTCCTAAGAAGCCTCTCTGTTTTCCTGGTCATCCTTGGGTGGTAGAACAGCAGCTCCCTGGCCATAGTTAGAGCTGTGCTTGTTCCTCAAAACCTACTGCCCAACTTGATGTAGATGCGATTTCTTGAACACTTGAGTACTCCTTTGACACACCTGCTCACGGGGAAGCCAGGGGTTTGGACAGGGCTGTGTGTAAGTCTGCTTTTCCCTATGCAGCAGGATATGCCATGATACGGAGGACGGCTGAGGCAGACCTGCCACGCCTGAGGAGATATGAGATCCCAATTAAGAGAGTAGCCAGAAACCTGTGCTTGGATCCAGCGCTTATCGGTGCCATCATGTCCCAGGAGAGCCGTGTGGGCCTGCTCCTGGACAACGGCTGGGACCGCGCGCGCCAGAAGTACGGCCTGATGCAGGTACTGCAGGGTGTGACAAGCATGAGCAATAGCAATGTAGTGCATACCCCAGGGCTTTATCTCAGCAAATCACTGTTCTGTGTTTGAAAGAGCACTTTATTGCCATCCCTCTGTATCCAAGGCTGTCCTGAATAAGGTCATTCATTGAGTCAAAGCCTGGGAGTACAATGAAGAGGGGGAGGCATTCAGAGGGAAACCCATTTTCTTGCTTGTCTTTCCTAGATCAGCAGGCAGCAAGTGCAACCTTCTGTGACGTGGGATAGTGAAGAACACATAAATCAGTGCTCAAATATCCTGGTTCTTTCCATTAATGAAGTACGGGCAAGACATCCTACCTGGTCCTGGGACCAGCAGCTGAGAGGTACAGAATGGGCTTTGTACTAGGGAGGGACAGACTGACTGATGGGAGTGCTGTGTGCTTGTTGGTGTCACTTTTAAGGGAAAAAGAGCATCAGTCTGGCAGATTTTACAGCATCTCTTATGAAAAAAAAACCCCAAAAAAACCCCACAAAAAACCCCAAACTAACAAAATAAACCCCCAAAGCCCCAAAATAACAACCAGAACCAGAGTTTTCTAGTTTAACAGAAGCAGTACCAGACCAGCAGACGGGCAATGAGAAATGGCTGTTAGATGGATAAATAAGATAGAAAGCAGCTAAAAAAAAGTCACTGGAGAATGCAGAAACTGAGGCATCACAACACAACAGAATTATTGTGGCAACCTGTTGTGTCCAGGAAGATTGCATCCAGGTTTCCTTGTAGTCTGAGCTGTGTGCTGGTTTGTTCACCCTATGCTATTTCTTACTCTCCCTTCCTTGCTCTGCTACTGCCCTTCCTTTCCTCTGATTACACCCTTTCCTGGTAACAGTGTTTCATTTCCACCTGCATTTGGAGAGAGACATGGCCTCCTTCACTACAGCAATAAAGATTTTACAAAATCAGTCACTTTTCAACAATAATGCACAATTGGCACTTTGTCAAGCAGTTCCTGTTTGATGAGATGCATGGTGGTTTTTTGCTACAAATTTTTGCTCTTAAATCCTTATTTCTTACTTACAAGCCCATAACAACTTCTTCACTCTTTCCAGGGGGAATCTGCACCTACCATGCCAGAATGGGCAATGTCCAGGTCTACGAGGCAGACCCATGCAGCAGCGACTACAACTATGTCAACAGCGTGATTAGGAGAGCCCAGTACTTTAAGAGAAATGGGTTCTAGGTCTCAAACCCACCCCACCACGGAGCCTCCCCTCTGCAGACTGGCCCAGCAGTGATGTAGTACCCACTACAGCCCAGTGCTGTAGTACCCAGAGCAGTTCCTCAGGTCTCCTGGCAGGACCGATGCTGGTGGCATTGCCAATGTCACCTTGCTCGCTCCAGCAAATCCCAGCCCCCCGCTCACTGATGGGCAAGCTCAGAACTGACTTCCAGGACATCCCCAGGGATGAGATCCCACCAGCTCAGGGCCTTTGAAAGGCAGATGGGGACATAGCAGCAATGTTTAAATTTTGAGTGAGGAAGCTGACTCTTCCTGTTCAAAGTTGCACACCAGGGCTGTTTGTGCATCTCCCAGGCATGGACACAAACATTTCTCTCTGGGCGTCAGCTGTGCTCTTCCCATCTGCATCCACCTTCTTTCCTCTCCATGGCCAAAGCAGGGCATGAATAGCCTGTGTTCCTTGCCTTGGTGCTGCTGGCTAAGGAGCAATGAAGAGACTTCTCAGTGGTCTCTGCAGTAGCTGAGTGTTCCTGTAGCCAGCCTTCAGGGGAACAATACTAAACATCTTTGGTTGGTCTCCTGAGTCCATGGCCATGGTGCAGCTGGGGACGTCATCGTGGCATCTATATGGAAAATACTGCAAATGCCAGAGCAGGCAAAATGAGCAGCTTTCCATCAGTGAGCAGCCCTTGGAGCAGGAGTCAGCCCCATACGTACCCACACCAGGAGCCATATCACAGCAATAGTTTTGGTAAAAAACCCCACAAGCTTTTCTGTTTTAACTTTGGCATATTTATGCTGAGGTTCCTCCAAATTTAAAAGCATTTCAGCATCTGTCCCCGTGCCAGGAATCCCAGTTTCCAATAGAAGTGAATGAGCTCTGGTCTGTTTGAAAGTGGATGGGTCTCTTGGTGCCAATTTATTAATTAGAGAACAACAATGAGAATAAGACAGAAATAAAGATAAATGTTAAATCCCAATGTTTATTTTTTTCAGTTTCACGGGACTCAGTGGGTAGCTGTGGGTACAGCTTGAGTAAATAACCCCATTCACTGCTCTTGGAAGGGGTCTAAACCTCAGTTTGAGAACAGAGAGAGGATAATGGTGGTGCAGACTGGATAGGTCAGAAGAACTGGGCTTGAGTCTGGCTGCTGACCCAAACTTGTGAACATGGTAATAGGAATGTTCACATTTAGCCTTTCAAATAACCATTTTGGAGACGTCAGAGTACTTTTCTTCCAGCTGCCACCATTGCTGATGCAGCAGTGATGTTCCTGGCAGCCCTTGCCTGGCAGCAAGGGGCAGTGCTGTGCCTGTGCCTGGGCTGCCAGGCAGGGTCAACACTGGCAGCATGAGAGCTGGACTGGAGGCAGCTTTTGCCAGCAGAGCACTTTTAACACTGTGCCCCTTGTCTTGCCAGTCCCTCATCTGCTTACCATCAAGGCAAGGACTCTGCATGATTAACATACATTACAAGCAAATTAATTTTATCACCTCTGGAGACCAGAGGGAACCCTATGTTGTCGCAAATGTCACTGATTTCTTTTTTAAGACTACCATAAACAGTTCAGTGTTGAGCAACACAGATATTGAAATTAGTCCTTAATGAAATCTGCACTATATTAATATAATTTTACTAAAATAATTACTTTGTAATACAAACTTATGAAATGTATCACATTGTTGTCTACTTAACATTACTTATGTGAAATTTACAGGATGAAGCCTTTGGTGCATTATGTTATGTAAACCTATGTTACATAAACCTCTTATGTAAAGCCTATGAATGAATTTTTGGTAGATCAGTATAAATTTCACATGGGGCAGGGAATCTCATTGCTGACTTTGTGTACAAAGCTGGGGCTTGAGTTCCAAGGGTGAACAAGAGTGGAGCTCTCTTTGGTCGCCTTCATGTCATCCCCAGTTGCTGCCAGAAGCTCCTTGTCACCACTATTGGTGCTGCCAACCCTGCAGATCTCTGAGCTCCTCAGGAGTCCAATTCGAAGCTATGAAGCTGCTGCTTCACATTGTGGTAGCAACACCCAAGGGCCTGCAGACCTGCCTGCTGAGTAGTGCAGCATCACCACAAAGGATTATTTATATTTTAAAGTCTATTTAAAATTCCAAGTTATGGAAATTCCAAATTTTGTTCCAAATTTTGTTTTAGGGTATCAGCACTTTGCAGAAAATACAGCAAATCTCTGCAGAAAATTAGGTGAAGCTTGATTAATTGGTAGTAAGGAGCAAATAAACAGGGAAAGTTTAACAGTAGAATGATACCTTAAGATTTGAACAAAACTTTTCCTGACAAATAATGGGTTCAGATTGTTGTTCCTCTCTGATCTTTTCCTGGTCACCTCTGTCCATGTTGCTGGAAGCTCCTTTTCTGCCTGATGTAGACAGAGCAGCTGCAGTTGCACTCTTGGTCACCCTTTTGACCCATGGCCTGTTGAAAAAAAAACCCCAAAACAACAGACATCTTGCAAAGCAAATTACCAAGTAACATATCAGAAAAAGCAGAAGCACAGGCAAGGAAAGAGAAAAACCAAATCAGAGGGGGAAAAAAAGGTCCAGGGAATCAAAGACCAAGACACCTGCCTGAAACAATGAGGAAGGTGCTAGACTAAAGGATTGAATGGTTCCTTCAAGAGATCCTGTGGGACAACAGCAGCAAGAAGCTGTCAGGAGGGTGCTGGCAACCTGGCTTGGCAGGGAAAAACCATCTCAGATCAATTAAAATCTTTAACTGGGTAAGTGGCCAAGAGATAAACCATGGTTGTGCCATATCATGAGGTCAATAATGCTTTCAGCAGAAATATGAATTGCCCTCATATGTGAAGGGCTTTAAAATAAGTGGAAAAAGCACTGGTTAGCAGCAGCTTCTGGCCAAACTCATGAGATTTCCAAGTGGAGATACACAAGTCTGTCCTACAGCAGTGTCTCTGAAATTTGCAGTCAGAAAATGAATGGAGGACGTGAGCTATCTAACCATGGGCTACATGGAAAGGGAACACGAGCACTTCCATTGTGGTCAGAAACTGTGAAAACCTGTTAGGAACCAAACACAGGAATCAATAAACACAGGTGCAAAACACTCGATGAGGTCAAGCAGCAGTGTAGGAGGTGAGCAACCATCCCACAGAAAGGGCTGGGGATCCTGGTGGGAAGCAAAGTTGATGCCAAACACAGAAGAAATCAAAAAGAAGGAATATCTCATTTGTGAGGTTATCTTTGTTACAGCACTGTGTGTGAAGAACCTGGGGTAACTCTTCTCTCAGCTATTCAGCTCTCAGTCAGTGAGGCTTGGCAACAGTGCTTGAGGCTGTTGCACCAACAAAAATATGCTCAGGACAATCAAAACCCTGATGGAAAGTACAGTCCTTGAAAAAGGAATTAGATTTCCCCCCCGCCAAAAAGAGAGAAAGCACACAGTTATGATTTTTTAATATGCAAAAGAAACGAAGGACAAGGACCTACCAGCTTCCATTCCCCTTGAGAGTAAGACAAATAGCAGCAAGTTTAGCAGCAAATTTGTTGGATTCTTAAAAAAAAACTTTCAGGATAATGAAGCAATGCAACATTTCCTGGGTGTTTTAAACAACATTCAAGACCAACACATAAAAGTTACTGTACATCATATCTAATCACAAAATGGTTTGAGTTCAAAAGGACCTTAAAGATCACCAAATTCCAATTCCCCTTCCATAGGTAGGAACATTTCCCATTAGACCAGGTTGCTCAGGGCTCTGTCCAACCTGGCCTTGAACACTTCCAAAGACGGGGCATCCACAGCTTCTCTGGACAACTTATTCCAGGGCCTCACCACACTCACAGTAAAGAATTTCTTCCTAACGTCTAATCTAAACCTGCCCTTTTTGCAGTCATGTTTTGCAGAGAGGGGAAATGCAATAGGTGTTGTTTAAGGACCTTTCCAAGTTAACACTGCTGAATCAGAATCAGCAGTCAGCAAATGGAAAACAAATTGCAGACTGGGAAGAAAAACCTTCCTTGTTGGAGACCTGTGATTTGGTTTTACAACTGATGTTACTACTGGGAAATTTATTTAAATGTGCTTCCTACAGCAAAGAGCAAGTGTGAGGTGGAGTTTTTCTCTCTCATCAACTTGTTAAGCTGCAGGTGGCACGGGCTGATCCCTCCGTGGCTCAGGCAGGGATCTGCCGGGAGACTGGAGCTGCAGTGACTGGTTTTCATAGAAACCAGGCAGAGGGACCAATTAAACCCCTTCTTTCAGCAGTAACTGAAGCAGCAGGAAAACACTGTCAAAACCAAGTCCCTGTTGGGTCAGAGCCCTAAGCTACGTGGGGGAGCAGATTGTTCTGACGGCTGATTCCAAATGCTGCAGCTGGATCTGTTTGAGCCACGTGTCCGTGCCTATCTCCAAGATATGCAAAAAACAAAGGGAAACACCAGCACATGAAGGCAGTGCTGAATAACTGTGTTTGTTCTGCTTTGTTACTCATTGCAAAACTGGGCTGGGATTTCCTAGCCAGGACAGAGACTCTCACACTGCCCAGGACAGGCACCAGCCTGCGGTCCCAGGGATCCCTATGGAGCCAGTGCTGCAGCTGGGGGTAACTGTTTCTAATGCTTGCCTCAGGTTATTTGCCTTCCTGGAAACTGAATACTCCCATGTTGGATGCACATGGCCTGCTTTTTTCCATTTTAGTGTTAAAAGAGATCATATTGTAGGATTGCAACCTCAGAGCAGTTTCCCACCAACATCCCTCAAACAAAGTCCTATTGTCATCTTATTGTGAAGCTCCCATACCTTCTTGGTGATTTCCTCATGGTCATCTCATTGCAGCCCTGACTCCTCCTTCACAGCACAACCAACAAAACTCCAGATCTCCTCTCACCCAACTAACCCACTCTTTTGCAGCACTCATCTTATTGGACACAGCTGTGACCTATTAAGGGCAAGCCTGTTCCTAATCTTTGGTGATTAGTACAGCTGCAACTCCTCAGGTGTGAGACTACCTTCTGCACAATCTTTATTTCCTTACATTCTATGCCTCCACAAAATCCTTGTGCCTCTCTCTACTATTTGTTTCTGTCAGTTCCTCAACCAGCTCCTCCTAGAAGCCAGGAATTATTGCAACCAAAAATTCTGCTTCTGCACCTCCTCCTGATGAGGCACTGATCCAGCCAGTGTGCAGGCTCCCACTCATGCCACCATCCCACATTTACTGCTCCTCTGGCCTCACTGACCACTGTCACAGAACTGAAAAAGGATAGTACAGTCCTACTACAGCATTTTTATCAGTAGCAACTGGGATTTCCACCCACAGGTTTTTAGGGTGCTTTTCTTTTCCTGTATTTTCATGCTGTAACATTTTCATCCTTCACATAGAGCATCCCTCTACATACAGCATCACACCTCCACATCCTCCTCAGTGGTTCCTGTGAGGCTGGCAGTGCTGTATCTCATTGGTTTTCTAGTCTCCACCGAGACTCTGAGATACCTTCTGTGTCAGGGTTGTCATTTGGTCCAGGCATTTGTGTTCTGGCTTGATTTTGAAGTCTCTAGCCACTGTACAAAAACACTTGCAAGTTTGTCTTTGCTTTGTTGCTTAATATTGGACTTGCCATTGTATTCTGTTTATTTTGTCTTTCTCACCTATTGTGATTGTGCTGTTTATTCCCCTCATGTTTTTTTCAGAGGTAAACTGAACATCAGCCTCGTTCACCTTGCAGATCACGTGAGTTCAAACTAGATACTCCTCTGTATTTGTCAGTTTTCACCTGCTTGTAGTGGAAATGTTCCTCTAAAAGCTCTTCAATTTCCAGTGACACTGGTTGTCTATGCTACAGCTCAGGTACAGCTTGCCCCTTCCATGCTGCACGTCTCATCCATGTTTTGCCAGCTCCCCACATGTCTCACTCATCTATAAAGCCCTGCATTTCCCCATGAGGCCATCTTGCAGCCTCAGGACACAGACCTTCTCCCAACACCCAGAGCACTGTGCCTTCCTAACAGAGGCTGGGTAACCTCCCACAGCTCAAATGGGCTTGATTGCCTTGGGAAGCTTGTGTCAGCCTGGTTTCTCCCCTGAAAGCATAACTAGGATCACTCACTTCTTACCCACCTCTTATTAAGCTAATTAGCAATTAGAAGAAATATTCAAGAACATGGAAAAACCCACACAGGGAGGATGTGGCTGACCTGAGACTCTACTGCTGCAGTATTCAGTCTTCCACACTCAATTTCCAAGAACTGGAAAGGTTTCTTGTTCCAAAGCAGGCAAGGAGAAATTTGACTCATTTTTGTCCTTTAAATCAGGTTTTATTTTATTAATTCCCTGCTTATTCAGTCACCCCTTAGCTGATTCAGATCAAGAAACTAACAAAGTTTTTAAAGGGGTTTGGGTGTGTGCATAGTTACAGAAACCTGGTTTATAGATTCCTCTCATAATAATAAAAATCCTGGCAGCGTATTTTTGTACCTTTCCTCTAGAAATGAAGACAAACTCTAAAAAGGCACAGCTGCATGCCTGAGCCATAGATGACATAATAGAGGACCAGATTATCCCACAGATGTTTGCCCTGAACCATTTAATTGCCAGAGGCAATTTTTCCTTCCTGCCAGACACATGAGAGAAGAGTGAAGAGTAGCTGGTACTAGATCTGGCCCAGTGCCCTGCAGGCTGGCTTCTGGGTAAACCAAATTGTCCCTGCCCTGAAACTCTTGTGATCAATAAAGAGCTGCTTGCTAATGGATCACGGATACTGATATTGAGTGGATCACTGTGGCCCTTGTTATATGTACTACAGGTGGATGTCCTACACTTACCACAGGCACAAAATATTTCAGTAGTAGAGCTGTCAGGTTGCTCTAGATGGAGGCTGAAGAGCTAGCTGAGTGTAAATAAAGACCCAGGGAATTCAGGTGAAACTGTCCAGGTGTGGCAAAGGAGGTTTGTAGAGAGAATATGGGCACGGAATAAAGTTGGTCATGGTGGGAGCGCCTCAATTACTGTGATGCAGAGAAAGCAAACTACATCCTTTATGTTTCTGCCCCAGAAATAAGGGAATAGTAGCACAGACCATTTGGAGATTACTGGTTTGTGAATCACCTTTGGTGTTTTTCGAATTTTTTAAGTGTCACTTGTTTTGAGACACATCTGTTCTATTCTCCTTCCTGTCAGATCTACTTCCCTTTTTCAACCCTCTTTACACTCAGTTATAATTGTGAACTTGAAGAGCCCCATGCATGAGCTGCTGTGACTGTGCAGCTGATTCTCTATGGGAAGTATCAACAGCACAGCAAAAATTTACAGAATCTCTCAGTGCCATGACACGGGACGAATTCCCCCGTTGAAAATGCAAAAGAGCTGCTGAAAGAGCAAAACGGCATTTCACACCCTCAAAATCTGCCGTGGGGAGAAGCGGGTCAGGATGGATTCTGTCGCGGGAGCTCTGCCATCCAGCGGTTGTTTCCTCACTGCTGCACAGCTACAGCAGCTTGGAAACCACACCGCCTGCTAATTTGGGGCTGCCGACCTTTGTTGTTCCTGTGCAAGAGGGGATAACAACAGGGGCCTGGCGTAGTCTCTGCATATCCCAATGCTGAGCAGTTGCAGCTCTGGTCGTGTTATTGTTCCTGGATCTTTGCCTGCAAAAATGTCATTAAATCCAGAAGCCCATTTTCCCATTGTCAGCATGACACTGCTTCCAAGAACTGAAGGGGAGCAGCCGTTTTCAGACAAGGCTCCTTCATGGTTCCTAGCAATGGGACTTAAAATTAAATTAAAAGCTATTTCATTTTTTAAATTCTAATTGTGTTTTTGCTGTAGAACAGAATCCCTGCTGTGTTTGGGAGGATGCACAAGTTGTTAGGTGTTTCTGTTTCTTGTAAGACCAGTGGGGGTGGGAAGTGCTCTGAGCCAGCTGTTCCAGAACACTGCCAGCAGATACAAAGCCCATTTGTCTCCAGGAAGTGTATTGAGAATGTGGGGAGACATCCTGCAAGCAAACAGGTCAGGTCTGTGATCTTTGTCTAATATTCTTGTAAATGATTCACTGTACCAAAGTCTGTATTCCATTAGATGAACTGTTCCTCTCAGTTGATGTTTGTGTGTTTTCCCTCCTGCAATGGTGTGTTACAACAGATAAATGCAGATAAATTGCAAGTCAAACAATCTGCAAGTCAGATAAATTGTAATGGCTGTAATTGAAGGATGTTTCTGTTTGATTTTCTTGTAGCTATGGAAAAGCAAGCTGGAGCTAATAAATAGTGTAGGATTTCAATTGACTCTCATGTTTTTTTCTTTACTTTTAAAAATTTTGGAATAAAAAACCTGCCTTTTTGAGATGCCTTCCTCCACTGGCCATGCAGGCAGCCCAAGTCACAAGCTTAGACTAGGCCAGCTAAGTTTTAGGTAATTAGGGGAGATGAACTGGGCACAAAGCACCAGCTCATAAGGCACAAGAGCTAGCATGACTAAGAGGTAATCCCCTCCAGAGCAGGCCATACACACCATGACTGCACCTGCTAGCACAAACACCTGCACTAGTATCAAAAGGATGCCATGGGTTTCAGTCAGGGATCTGAAAGCATTTTAACAGCATGAGTCACACATTGCACTGGCCTGACATCTGCTTGTAAAGACTGCTCTGTGCTGGTTCCAGCTGAAACCAGCACGTGTTCTTAGGCTGTTCAGAGTGTTATGGGAACATGCTGAATGTTGACACAACTGGAGCTTTGGGGACAACTGTGAAAGCAGATGGTGTGAGCTGTGTAGGTAGGCACTAATTCAGTTGTTCATTCTCCCCTTACACCCGTGCACAGGCTCATGCCTCTTATGGATCCTGGTCTCTGACTGTCAGTCAGTGCCAAGCAAGCAGATATTTTCACAATCAATCAAATAAGAGCCTACTTGGGCACCTAAGTTTATGTTGGGAATAGGGTTGACTTTGAGATAACATTTAAGACCATCACAGAAAAAACAAAAGTCTTCTGGGTGCATCCAACCTCTGAATCTACTTTTCTCTCTCCACTGAGAGTTTCCCTGAAAATCTGAACTTTTGAACATTTCTCCACTATAGTCATAAATTCAAAGGGACTAAATCTGGGACTAATCCACACAAAGGCTTAGATTTAAAACAAGACTCACCTCACTTTCAATCTGCATGCTAGAGAAATGCCCTCTGAATCTGAAGAAAAAAGTCTTTTATATCATCTGTGTATTGATTTCTAAGGTATCCTTCAGTAAAATTAGTTAAATCTATCTTTGTTTCACTCTAAACAGATTCAGAAGGATTCAAAATGTCAGCTCAGCCATAATGACCTTTAGAAAATCTGGGTTTGGATTCTAAAATGAAAGGCAAAGTCATGCATGTCATGTTGTAGAAGTTCCTGCCTTAGAGAAGACAGCAGCAGAACATAGAGAAATACCAGGCCAAGATAGCAAAAGCTGGCAATGGTGAGGGTCTTGCTCCAGTTGTGATTGATTGCTGGTGTTACCTTCCAAGGGCTGGGACAGAACTGAAGGATGGCCTGGGTGACCATGGGAATGCATTTGGCTTAACACAGGTATGGTCAACCTTCTTAAAAACATAAATCTCATTCTTCCTTTGAAGCAGAGTCAGAAGAGTGGCAGGAACCCTGTTGAAAGGCAACCCCCTAAGCCTTTTCAACCAAGTCCTTAGCCAGGCTAAAGCCCATGCTAACCAGGCTGTCAGCTCCCAGCACCAGGGAAGGACCTGGGTGAGCATCAGTGCATGAGCACACTGCTTTTACACTGTGACACTGATGATTGCTTCCCAGCACTCCTGTGGGTTGAAGAGATTAATTGTCCTTATTTCACATTTAGATAATAGGTCTTTTTTTCAAAAAGCACCTTTTTAAACTGAGCATGCTGTAGGCTGCAATTACTACCATCAGGTTAATTATACTTTATGCACCACAGGGGCCTGGGTTGTGGGGGATCTTGCTTCATTATTCATGCTTACATTTGTGCCTAGCTTGTTTGCCAAGTTGTAGCCTTATCTGTAAAATCCCTAAAAATTTGCTGCATGCATGGGATCTGTTTTTCTAACACCTCCAGCCCCCTCAGACTTGTGCTTTACTACCTCATGGATTAAGGGGAGATCCCTATAGGAAATGGATTTTCCCACCCTTGATTCAGCTGGGGAGAAGAGGGGCAGTCACCTTGCACCTGGAAACAGTGAAGCAGCAGTAATCCTGCTTTCTGCATACTGTCACCTTTTCAACAGCAGCTGTCCTGTTTTTTTAAGACTCTGACAGACAAGGAAGTAGGGCTGGCATTCCTCTTCTGTGTCCAAAGGGACCTCAGACATCTGCTGGCTTTGCCTGCGCCATGAGAAGTGCTTGTGTCCTCTCCATAGAGTCACAAAAGAGGTAAATTCTGAGACTGAGGGCCAAAATGAACACAAGCAGCCTGCAAGCACCAAAGAGCTGTGGATAAGTAGTGGGTTATCTGGTGTGGTGATGTTGCTGTCTCACTTTCAGGCTGGCAAACGGTACCATAAGATTGGCAAGCCATGGAACACTGAAGAGCACCTAGGACAAGACACAGAGATTTTATACAGGATGATAAATCCAGAAAAAAATCTCTATCTTGGACAGAGGAACAGCACCTCAGAGGCTGAATTCTGTCAGCTTTGAAACACTTCACATATGTAGAGTCAAGCATGATAATGCTGTAAGCACTGCAGAAAGCTAAACACATCCCAGTCCCTATATTCATGTCAAATAATATTCCTCAGTATGCACTAAAAGGAACAAAAGAGTAAGATTATCCTTCTAGCAGGCTTTTTTTGAAACCTGGCAAATACCATGACATTTTTCAGTTGCAAGGAGTAAGGGTGGCCTCTCCCCCTCCTCTCTCCATTCCATTTGTTTTGTGGTTCTATACCCACCTACAAAAAGTAACCTTTCCTGGTTGCCTCTCCTGGCAACTCTGAAGTATTATTTACTGATGAAATAGCACCTCGGTTTACATGTTTCTTTGACCCCCTTTCCAGGTGGGATCTCAGCCTATAATGCAGGAGTTAACACTGTCCAGACCTACAACAAAATGGGTATTGGCAAAACACACAACTATGCCAATGATGGGGATGTGAGAGCCAGGTTTTATAGGAAATAATGGACATTGATATCTCTGAGTAATGATTAGATTTGAGGCCCTGATTTCATACTTTGCTTCTAATTTAAAACATTCTGAATTTCTCCTCCAGACACAATAAGAATGGGGCAGGACAATGAAGCCAGGAAGAAGAACAAACTTGCAATGGGATTTTTTCCAGCTAAGGCTAAAAAAAAACTTAAAAGATAACACAGCTAACAGTTCAAAATGTAACTTACCTTTTGCCTTTAATTTTTATCTTACATCATGAGAATATCCATGTGGGATCTCAGCACATCAGCCCTGATGTGCAGAGACACCGAGATAACCCTTGGGGAGCTTGGAGGTCCTGGAATGTTGCCAGAAGTGTCTGGTGGCTGGACTTTGATCCTGCACAGGAGACGACACCTGTATGAGGATGGGAGGATCACACTGGGATAAATGGTGAAGGGATAGGTTAATTATAGTGTGAAACACAGGTTTTAGAATTTCGGTACAGGGGGGTCTAGAGAAGTAAGATGGAGGAATTGGGGTGTGTCCTCTTCTTCTTCTTCGCCTCCATCTTCTGTGGTGGTGGTGGTGGCACTTTGGGATTGGTTCTTACTAAAAGTGCACTTGTCAATAAGGGTGAAAGGCATTGGGGAAATAGGTAAATATCTTATACGTAGTTTTGGGTATAAAGATAAGTGACCGCCCCGAGGGCTCTCAGTGTGCTCATGGCCGACGTGCTGTGCGGACCTCTGTCGGGCTGAGAGAAAACCTTGTAGATAAAAGCTAATAAACACTGAAGACCGAGAAAAAACCTGAAGACTCTCCTCGTCCTTTGGAGCGCGGGCTGTCCCAAGGCCTCCGCGAGCCTTTCCAGGCCTTTAAAAACAGCCGAGAATGGGACATATCCAGAGTTTTCATCTGTGCCTGCAGTTTCTCAAGCAGCAGATTAATGCTGCAAGGAAGTTGTAACACTACTTAACAAGATTTTACCCACCTTATGTTTTATCTGTCAATACACATGTCTAACAGCTGTACAAAACAGCAGTGCCAGCTCTGGAGAGAGCCTGAGCTGTCCCTATCAGAGGCTTTCAACACCCACTGAGCAACCTCATCTGGCCTCAATGCTGGCCCTGTGTTGAGCAGGAGGTTGGACTAGAGACCAGAAAGGTACTTTCCAATCTGAATTTTGCAATCATCCTAAGTCAGTCTGTCTGTTCCCTACACAAAAAAGGGAACAAAAAGTCTCTTACCTGTGCTTCACAAAGATCTACATGGAGCATTACAAAGCTCCATCACTGAAAGGGTGTGGGCACACACTGTGTTTGTGCACACTACTGGTTCAGGTTTTAGGGTTTGAGAGCAAATCTTGAGAGAAGTATGCTCACACAGAGGTTTGGGATAGCAGACTAACTGTGGGAGAGTGGGGGCCCTGGGGGAAATACCATTTCAGAAACACCCAAACGTACACATATATTAAAAAGTTTAAAAAAACCCAATTTTCTTTTTCATTGAAACTGTCAGCTTGTCAATTAAACATCTCTGTAAAGATCTCTTGCAGCTGCATCTTACTCAGAAATAACAGCTACTATGTATTTTGCCTTCTCTCTATGTGGGAGCCTGCAGTGTCCATAGTTTATCAGACACTTCTTCAGCTATGAACGGTACCAAGCCTTTTCATTAACAAGGGCCCTCCGCGATACCCTGCAGCACTTCTGTAGGCTGCAGCGCCAGAGATCCGCATGCACATCCATACACAGAGCACGCAGAGCGTGTGGGATGGAGCTGGCAGAGCCCTCTGCTGGAAGCTCCCCAGGCTGCAGCGCCACGGACATTTATCCCCCACGTGCCTGGCAAGGCTGAGCCAGGCTGGCCCTGGTGCTCCGGGACACCGATCCAACCACAAGTCTTATTATTTGTTATCTACCAGCAGCAAGATCCATTTGCCTAATTTTCTGTGTCCTAGTACTTGCACCATCTCTTTAAAGAATGCCCTGTGCCTTGGATGCACTACATATATCCTTCAAGAGGGCTCAAACTCCAGCTTGTACCTTCCTGTGGGAATATGATCAACACCTCACAGAGACTGCAGTCATAACACACTGCAGCACAAGATGCTGTGCAGATGCTGGAAGAAAGGCAGGAGGTGAAAAAAGCAACATTAATTTATTTGAAAAATGATTAATTTATCTGAAAAGTGATTAATTTATCACTTTTCCCATGCTATTTTATTTCAGCTCAAATTCTCATTTCTGACTTCAGCCTGGCCATTATACTCCTTAGTGCCACTACCACAGCCTGTTACTAATGATATTTTAAGAAAATCCTGTCACTAAGATTTTTCTCCTGAGAAGCTTCAGAAAAAAAACGTAAACAATAACAATCTGATAGCTGTAGAATGTAGTCTAGAGATGATTTACCAAGAGGTGCATCTTTGGTCTCATGTAAATTGTTTCTACTTGATGACCAATCACAAGTCCAGCTGTGTCAAGACTCTAGTCAGTCACAAGATTTTATTATTCATTCCTTTCTAACCTTCTCATGAAATCCTTTCTCTCTATTCTTTTAGTATATCATTTTCTTTTAATAGATCATAAAATAACAAATCAACCTTCTGACACATAGAATCAAGATTGTCATCTCTTCCCTCATCCTAAAAACCCTCAAACACCACCACACCTATCCTTTTCCCTCTGCACGGTGCCTCCAGCTCTTATGTCCCTGTCCTGATATATTTCTTCCTTTGAACTCCTACAGGTGTTTACACTTCTCTGCAAGCAGGCAGAAAGGATAAACACTAATTCTCAGTAACTGCATCCCTCTGATGTTCTCACAACATGCAGTCATTAAGATTAACTCCTCTTCAGTGTGTCTAATGAGGGAATGGCTCACGGCGTGTTAAATTACAGAATTTATCCTGACTGGAATGCAAACTACTTTATCATTTGATACAGCAGCAGCTTGCTAACTTTGGCCACAGTTCTTAAAACTGTAAATAAAATTACACACACAGTAGTATTTTATAAGCTTGCAGCCCATAATTCTAACTCACATTAGAAGTTCGCCTCAGGGTCTCCACATTCCTAATGTCTGCCATTCTAGAAAAGGAAAAGCATTAACTTTCACATGGACTGCAGCTCTCAGGCTATTCTTACTGAACACTTAGGATCAGGGGATACATATGATCACAGCAGGTTTCCTGAAAGACAAATTAGAAAGCAATCAAGAGGTGAATAACTCCCAAATGGAGAGTTCACATGCTTTGTTAACTACAGAAGAAGCCAAAGGACAGACTGTTTGCTAGGGAACTGTCACAGACAGATTTTTTGTGAAAAATCCTTTCTTTAGGATTTTTCCCTCTTCTGGGAAGCTGAGGTCCCAGAAAGAGAATGTAAACAATGGTTATCTGCTGCTGTGAAATGCAACAGGTGCACCTGTGATTGGCCCATGTTCCATGTTTACAATTAAGGGCCAATCAAAGACAAGCTCTCTCTGGGACAGAATCAGAGAGAGCTCCTTTGTTATTCATTCCTTTTCTATTCTTAGCATAGCAGCTTCTGAACTTCTCTCTCTATTCCTTTTAGTATAGTCTTAATGAATTATATATCATAAAATAATAAATCCAGCCTTCTGATCACGAAGTCAAGATTCTCGTCTATCTCTCTCACCCTGAGGAACCCTTGCAAGCCCGGTAGCAGGGAACAAGCAGAGTGAGATCTGGATAACCATGGTAAATCACTCTCCAATTCTCATGTGACAACTAAACAGAGGACTTTTCAATTCCAATTCCAATTGCCTCCTCTGTGCAGTGAAAGTCCTGCAGTATTGCTGTAAATCTTTACTGCTAGCTGTGAAATGTCCTCACCATCATTAGCTAGAACTATTCTACTCGCTTCTCTCCTTATTTGACTTAATCAATAAAGTCAAACTGTAAGAGAACTTACAGTTAGCCAAAAACTGCAACAATCTAGCCACAAAATTAAAACACAAAGACAGACAGCCTATAATTATTTAATATTTCAGGTAACTATTAACAACATTGAATTTTGTATCTGTACACCTGCAATCCTTCTTTAAGCATCAGTACCACCTTTGCCATTCATGACAGAGTAAGAACTTTTACTTTTCATACACAAACTCTTAACTGGGGATTTAAAATATTTATTTTATAAAATCTAAATCCAACCAGCACATCTTATGCTTTAATTTTTTTCTGCTCCACAGGTTTCAGGCGCTTTTTAATGATAAGCTCTCCTCTGCTTGTCAGAAAGGTGCTGGACAATTCCTCTTCTGTTGGCAGCCCATGGGGGAGCTTCAGTGGCTGAATTCTACAGGCAAAAGAGTTTGCTTAGTGAATTCCTGTGACTAGAAGGGAGTTACATTAAATATTCCAAATAAATAAATAAATAGTTAACAAACCTTATCAGATGTTTAACAACTTTCAGTCTGGAATTCACAGAAGGGATATTTTTGTGCAGTCTTGGCTGATGTGCCTACGTAAGGGATAAAACAAGTTTTACAAATGTGTTGCCAAATCCTAAATCTTTGTTCACTGAACTTTGCACACTACCAGTACAAAAATAAACCACGTTTGCAAATGTAAGGTTTAGAGAAGTGCCATTCATCAAGATCAGACATAAAAAATATGCAATCAAAACTTGATTCCAGTAAAAAAACAATTCCATCTTTATTCCTACTTCACTATAAATGCATTTTCCTTCCAACTGCTAAAAATACCATAAATGTAAATACAAGAGTTTAGGGGCAAAACTGATTTCTTCAGTTATATCTTAAATTGATCAAGCACACATTTTTTCTCTGTAATATAACACTGACTAGACAAATCTTTGCATAATGTGCAGTTGGCCTGAAAAACTCAGATAAACATATCTTTGACACAAACTTTTAGAATCCTGAATTTGGAAGCCTTTTCACCGATAAATGAATTTTATTTGCCTTCCTACAATTTCTGATTAATATGACCTGCAGAGACCTGAATTCAAAGTATTTACAAACCTATTACTATTATTTTAGAAGAATTCTCAGGGTAAAGTTCTCCTCAGGCAATGCAGCACAATACCATACAGAGATATTCTGAATTCCCACTAAAAGCACATTTGCCTCAAACATTCCCCTCAGCTCTTAAACACATCATCACCTTCTCACATTGCTTTATGGCTGCTATAAATGTAATTCTGGTTTGTGACTGCAAAATGGAGGTCTTTATACAACCCACCAACCCAGTGCTACAGTTCTGACATACACAAGTATAAAAAACAACAATCATACTTTATCCAGCCCCAGATCACGGATTATCTTCTTTTCCCAATATGGGCGACCAATGACACTTTTTATTCTGGTGATAACATGGATTTTGTGGGGCTCCTCAGGGTTACCTCCATACTTTTCATGATCTCCAGGCCGTGGCTGAAATACCTACAATAAAAAGTTCACAAAACCAGAGGTTTTATCCCTAAATATCCGGTCATCAGTACTGCAGTTCATTACTGCCCAAAACGCACTTCAACCTTGGTAAAAATTCTTCCATATTTTTCTTTTCAGGCAGTCAAAGCACCAATAAAGTGACCTCAAATTTAGCTTTTATAACATGAAGTCAAACACATTGCTATAATGGTTTGCTGGTAAGTATAGTAACTCTGGAGTTTAGCCACAGAATGGCACAGAAATACACGGACAACACCCTGTACCAGCACAACACCTAATTCACATGCATTTTATCAGGCAGCCTGTGATCAGCCTCTGGATGGCAAGTTTCTCCACAGGCTTTAAGAATGCTTTTAGGAAAAAGAGTCAACTGGCACCAGATAAAATTAAAAATAAATAAAATTAAACAAAAATAAACTGAAACTATAAATGTAAAAAATATAAAGTGCAAGTCAAGCACATACCGAGTCTGGAATATTGGACCTGGTAAAGAGACAACGAACCCACACCGGGGACGCCATCCCCTCCATGCTCTTCCCCAGCACCTGCAAGGAGAGGAGGGCATAACTTGTCTGCACTTTCCTTACAGCTATAAACACCTGCGAACAGATGACACAGCCACGAGTCCCAGCCCCACCTGGATCCCCCGCTGAATTCCCAGCGGGGTTCCGAGCAGGATCTCCAGGTGGATCCACCCCCACGAGATCCCCTTGTGTCCCTTTCCCGGAACCCCACCTGGATCCCCATTGTCCCGGAGGCTACAAATCTCAGCCCCAGCCCAGATCTCCAGCTGGCCTCCCGTTCCCCCTGGATTCCCCCACACCCCCAACCCCACCCCAGGTCCTCACCTTCCCGGTGTCCGCAAGCCCCAGAGCCTCACCTTCCCGGTGCCCGCAAGCCACAGGCCCGCCCGGCCCGCCGCCGCCGCCATCGCCGTGCGCAACCTCCGTCCCGGCCGGACACCGGTGCCGCGGCACTTCAGTTCCGGGCGGGCGGAAGGACAACGGTGCGGCACCTCCCCTCCGTTCCCCCGCCTAGTCCCCGCTCCCCGTCCCGTTCCCGTCGGGAGTCGTTCGGTTCGTGTCCCCGTCCCTGTCCATGTCGCGGGCGAGGAACGATGGCATTGCCGCGCTGGAGCGGGCCGGGGCGGAAACGCTGAAGCGGGCGGTGCAGCTGGACGAGGCGTCCCGGTTCCAGGAGTCGCTGGTGTGTTACCAGGAGGGCATCGACCTCCTGCTGCAGGCGAGGAAAGGTACCGGGCGGGCGCCGCCGCCGGGCTCGGGGTGGCCCTGGGGCCACACGGGCAGTGCTGGCGCCCTGGCGGTCTCTTCCCGGGAGAGCCGGGCCGGGCAGGGCTCGGGAGGGCCGGGCCCTGTGCTCAGCTGGCCCGTCATTTTCTGTGATTCACAGCCACGACTGATGAGGCAAAAAAGCACCGCTACCAGCAGAAGATATCCGAATACCTGACCAGAGCCGAGGAGATTAAAGAACACATTAAGAAACAAGGTATGAATCCCTAAATGAGGGCTACCGAGAAGAGGGAGCCAGGCCCTTCCTGGTGGTGCCAATCACCAGCACATGGGGCAGAAACTGATGCACGGGGAGTTCTGCCTGAACATGAGGAAGAACTTCTTCACCGAGCACTGGAACAGATTGTTCAGAGAGTGTGGAGTTTCCCTCTCTGGAGATACTCAATGAAATAGATAGGGCAGGAGATCTTTCTCCTTTTTAATGCCTTTATTAAAAAATCAGCTCAGGTGGGAAGAACCGACGGGTCGCTCTCACGCCGCCGCTGCTCCCAGGAGTGGCACGGAGGAGGAGGAGGAGGAAAAGTGCAGCTTTGTCTGCTGGTCTGTGGGCAGAGCTGGGGCTTCTGTCCTCACGAGAGCACCAGGAGATTCCCAGTTTTTCAATTTAACATTCGAGGTCCTCTGTCTAGCCAACGTCTTTTAGGTTAGGGTGAGGGGTAAAAAGGGATACTGGATTCTGTTCTTCACGTCTAGACATCACTTCGATCCCTCAATTCCGCGTTGGCTCGTTGTTTTTAGGGGTTTTTGCTAGGTTTACATGCCAACCCCTATGTCCCCTCCTCTTCACCGTCCCGAGTGCCATCCTCCACGAAGCAGCAGGGTGTTACTCAACAAAAAAGGGGAATTCCCAACCATCAACAGCAGGAAGTTAACGAAAAACCAATAACAACAGGTGATTATAACAACAAACAGTTAGAACTCCACCCTGGCAGCAACTGGCCCAACCTGTCAACTCTGCAACCTTTTAAAAAAATGGGCAATTTTTCTACTCATAACACTCAAGAACTGTCTGGACAAAATGTGCTGTGGGATGACCCTGCTTGAGCAGGAGGTTGGACCAGATATCCTGCTGTGGTCCCTTCCAGCCTGACCCATTCTGTGATTCCCTGAGCTGGGATGTACCCGGCATTTAAACGTCTGTTGTTACATGAATATTTGATGGGCGAGGTGTTTAACATGAGAATTATGTCCTGACCTTTACTTAAACAGAGATTTACTTTCCTTTCAGATAGCAAAAACCATAAGCAAATCAGGATAGAAGAAAATGCAACAGGTTTTGGCTATGAAAAGCTTTTCCACGAGTACCTCACTGAGAATGTTTCTGAAGTTTGGGTGGAGGACCCATACATTCGTCAGGTTCATCAGGCAAGTAGATATTTGGTGTAACTGATACAGATGTAGCCACTAGAGAAATTCCAAGCTACTAAATTAAATAAAACTTTTCCAGTTGTATAATTTTCTACGATTCTGCGAGATGCTAGTTAAGGGGCCGTGCAAGGTGAAAACAATCCACCTCCTCACTTCCTATGATGAGGTAAGTGTCTAGATTTTGAGTTCTATTCTCTGTACTCAGATGATGCCACATGCAAAACAAGATATAAAAATACAGACTTGTTCCTAGATAGTTGAACATAAGTAATTTTGTAAGTTGAGAGTTTTCTGGTTAACAAATTCTGAGTAAGCAGAACCTTAAATTGAAATGTCTCTGAAAGTTTTGTTGTGGAAAATGTCATAAAAACCAAAGCATCTGTTGAGACAGGGTTTTTTTTGCTCTTCCAACAGCTGTATTTGTTATTTTAGAGGCTTTCATGAGCTGAAATCTCTCAAACTACCACTGCACTTATTTAAACTATTACTGCACTCACTTTGGCTCAAATAGTATATATCAAGTTTCAAAGAGCTGAAAGTGAGCTCATCCTCCACATCCTTCAGCAAATATACCTGTAGACTGTCTGCTTTTTATCCTGTCTTTGAAACTGTAAATCTGCCTTCATCGAAGTTACTTTCTTTTGGTTCACTTTGCTACTGAAAATGTTTTGAGTTTAAAGGTGTATGAGTTTAAGAAGTGGTGACCAGAAATAGAATATATAGTTAAAAAAATGAAAATGAAACCCCATCACATTATTTTTACTTTTGATAGGGTAGTGGGAGGAGTCAACAGATGAGTGCCTTGGAAGAAATAAAACAATCATTGAGAAATTATGGAGTAACACTGAATGTTAACTTTTCATCTTCAATACATGATCGAGAAATCAGGTGGGTGATATAAAAAATGACCAAATGGCAATTATTTGAACTCAAAACTATTTAACCCTAAAATTTAAATAGTTAACTTTTGAGGTAATTACGGCTGTGGTTAACAAAATAAAAGGCACTGGCCCTCACCGGATGAAATCAGCCCTCTGTAGTTCTATATTTTTTAATTGTGAATATTTGTCTCTATACCGAATGGTGTCTTCTGTGGTTCACACAGGTATAGGTGACACTAGGAAATAATTGTGATTGAAACAAGGAGCATGTGCATCATGTGGATGTAATCTTTTTATTGTGCGTTTTTCAAACAGATTCAACAATGGGTGGATGATTAAGATAGGAAGGGGTCTTGATTATTTTAAGAAACCAAAGGTAAGGATGCTTTGACTTCTTTAATTAAGTTAAAATGAGCTCTTCATGGTGAGTATATGCTCACCATGTCAATTCTGTTCATTTCTGCAGGGTCTTTTTAGCATTGGATACTGTGACTTTGACTTGAGACCTTGTCGTGAAACAACAGTGGATGTCATTCTTACTAAACACACAAAGAAAACGTGATCAGAAATGACTGCTTTTAATAAGTGTTTTCATAAACATAAAAATGTAACACTGAAAGATTCTGCTTGAGTCCAGCTGGTTGCCCACAGAAGCAACTCTAAGTACTTAGTGCAGCACAGCTTTTAAAATCTGTATGTTTTAGAATGTTTGAGACTTTCCAGTCTGAGGAAACAAAACTGCATGATTCCTTCATTGTACTTCTTCTGTAATCTTAATTACCATCCATGTCTAAATTTTATCTTGATTTCATAACAGACCCTCAATAATGTCTTTCAAAAGCCTCTATACTGTCATTTCTATTTTTACTGTTGATTTTTTTCTTGAGCCTGTTTTGGATTTTATATCTTTGAACTGACCACCTAACAATCATTGGAAGCTGGGCTCGCACATGTCCCCTTTTATAAGCATTCTTATTTATTTCCTTTAATTCCTGTATTCTAGTCATGACTATTATTTTGCAGGGTTTTTGTCAGTCTTGTAATACTTTATTTCCCAGACTTTACTAGTAATCCCAATTTTCACATTCCAGTTTCCAAGCTCTTTGCCTATGAATGTGGTAGTGTTCAGTACACAGTCATTTTAGGGTTGTCTTATGTGTCTCTGCATAATGGATTTTGGACTGGGAAGGCTGCAAACAGCTGTAATCTCTTCCCTGGCACCCCTGTGTGTTCTTTTATTCCATGATACATGACCAAATACCTGATATCCATCCTTTGCATTAAGTGTGGAAAGGATGTGTGATCCCCTCTCAGTCTTACTCTGTCTTTAAAGCCCAGTGACTGGCTTTTCATGCCACTCTCCACTGCAGTAAGTATTTTGCTACCTCTAAGGGAGTCCCCTAAAAAAAAAATTTAAGTTTTTTCAGAAGTTGGGTACCCTGAGTATCTCAGTTGGTCAGAGAATGGTGTGAATAATGCCAAGGTCATGTGTTTTATCCCTGTAAGGGCCATTCACTTAAGAGCTGGACTTGATCCTTGTGGGTTCCTCAAAATATACCAAGTCCCTCAACTCAAAATATTCCACAATTCTTAGCAATATGCTATTTAGAATAAAGACAAAGTCTTCCCTTGTCATTCCTTCAGCCTTTGAAAACCAGAAGGTATTACCAGAGGTGCTGCCTTTTTTTTTTTTCCTTATACAAGAGTTCTTTGTTAGCAAGAATCTGCCTAAGTCATACAATCTGACATAAAAAACAGGCAGTGGCCTCTTTTTCAGGTCCCATCAAAATGTTTTCAGCCTCAGGACTGACACATGCCTTACACTTTCTGCCTTGTAATACAATAGGCCTTTATATTCTAGTAGCATGTTTATTGCTAGAATTTTTTTTTGTTTCCTGTATTTATTTTTCTTGATGGTTGGTGTATTCCATTATCTTTTTTTCCCCCTTAATGTACTTTATTATTTCATCTTCTGTCATCTATTGCTGCTATTCTTTTCCTCTTGTTTCTAATAACAAATCTATTCCACAGCAATCAATAGGAAATGGAGCTGGTCTTTGCCTTGTTTTCTGGGTCACAATTAGCCAGTGGTCTGCCTTCTTTATCCCTTCTCATAATAATGTTTCAGCTTTGCAGTGTTGCCTCAGCAAAATGAATAATATATGTGCCACAGAGCTGTGTGCTATTAGTCATTCCCCCAAACATTCCATAGGAGCTTCCTGGTTTGCTGCTGTGATATGAAGTTTCTAGTCACTTGTGAATTTTATTCAGTTGTGTCTAATATATGCCTATTTTTAATGGGAATAAATGTTATTTTTTATTATTTGTAGCTTCAGTTATCTGTTTTATTTCTTCACAACACCAGGAAATTCAAGCAAGCTGTGTAATGCCTCAGAGATCCAGCCACATTCTGGAGAAGTCTCACTGTAAATACAGTAATTTCTCATATGTGAAGCTTTGTGTCTTTTAACCTAGTATGGCAATTTCAAACATAGAAAATCACAGAATTAAGTAGGCTGGAGAAGACCTTTGAGATTATCCAGTCCAACCTGTGACCTAGCATCACCTTGTCACCTAGAGCATGGCACTGAGTGCCACATCCTGTCTTCTTAAACACTTCCAGGGAAGGTGACTCCACCCCCTCCCTGGGCAGCCATTCCAATGCCCAGTCACTCTTTCTGTGAACAGTTATTTCCTAATGCCCAGCCTAAACTTCCCCTGGTGCTGCTTGAGGCTGTGTCCTCTTGCCCTGTCACTGGTTACCTGGGGGAAGAGCCCGAGCCTCACCTGGCCACAGCCTCCTATCAGGTATCTGTTCTGACCTAATCAAAATTGCATTTCACTTTTCCTTCAAAAACAGTGAAATACATCTTGAGCCATTTTCCATAATTTTACTATATATAGAGCTATTATTTAACAATAAAACTGTCACATTGTTGACTTTTATGGGAAAATCTGCTAGGTGGTAGCATAAGGAAACTCTCCTAGATCTGTATTTGCATTTTCAAGTGGTTAGCTTTGATAGCAGTACCCATGGCAGCAGGGACTCCCAGCTTTGTGCCAGGCACAGGAACAGAGGAGGCACGTGTGGCCTCCCAGTTAGCCTCTTCTGTCCTCATCACACAAACCCCCACAGTGAACTTGCTGTATTCCCCTGCTCTTGCACGTGCATGGACAAAAGCCCTGACCCAGGCTGCACCTGCAGTCATTCACTACCCAGCTGAGCTCACTGCAGTGCTTGTACAGCAGAGGCACAGCACTCTGCAAGAAGGGACTCTGAATCAGAAACCAGGGAACATCTCTCTCCACACACCTCAGGGGCTGTGACACAGCCTTTGGGCTACTGTCCACAAGGAGCAGGATGCAGTCTGGGGCATCCAGTGCAGCAGCACAACACCAGTTTTACACCTACCCCGTCCCATCTGTGTCAGCCATTTGTACCTTCTCTGCTACAGGGCCAGTTTGGGATGTCCCCACCATTTTCCCTGGTTCAAGCAGCAACCATGTCTTGTCAGCAGTGGTTTCAATCCTACAGTTTGGGAACATCAGGTGCACGCAGTGTGAAATTTAATATTAAATAAAAGCACAAGATTGAACAGTTTGTTTTCTACAAGCTGAATTTTTCTCTTACTAGTGATTGTTTTAGTTTTGTTTTCAATACATTAAATAAAAAAGCAGCAGAAATTTAACTTACATTTTCAAAATGCAAGTCACATTAATCTTATCATATTCTCACACAGTAGACTCCACCTGCTGTGCAACTCATCATCTTGTGGACACACTCTTAGCAATGTTGTCACTAGTGCAGTGATTTCATTTGGGCAAAACTTACTGCCAGTAAGACTCCTGACCAGTTCACTGTGCAGTCCTGGTGGCAGCCACTGCTCTGGCAGATCAATGTTACAGACTTCAATCCTTCCATGCTTTACATCCATATTTACTTTAACGTCAAGAACAGAATCTTTATAGACCATGTTAAGATATGTGCTGATGCTGAACTTTGGTGTCTTTCCATACACCCATTCCCAGGTTTGTAGTTCTTTAGTTTTGTCACTAATTCCAGGAAGCAGAATCTCATCAGCTGGATTTATTAAGGTGATATGGTGATTTATCCGGTGCTGCACAGCATATTCTTTAGCAATGGCATCCAGGAGCATCTCAGAAGTTAAACTAGGATCCTCTTCAAAGAGATTTTTCACCAAGGCAGGCACACTAGGAGTGGCATTGCTCTTTAACCCTTTAAAAGGACTTTTTAGCACAGAAGATAAAACAAACTTATCTGCATTACAGAGTAAGGTACAGTGGTGATAAGCACTTGTCCTTCCCAGCTTAGCAGCAGTGCCTGAGATTTTGTATTGCCTGTCTAGCAAGATGTCATACCTGTCAGTGACATGTACATCTAACTGGGGTCGCAAGGCTTTCAGAGCCTTCACAACGAGCTTCAGGTTTTCCATTCGTTCATATTTTTTTCTGGTTGTAAAGAAAGTCAAATTGATATTGCCTAAGTCATGGTAAACTGTTCCTCCTCCACTTCTTCTCCTGGCTAGTTTTATATTTTTTTGCCTCAACAGCCTGAGGTTGCATTCCTGCCAGGGATTCTGATGTCTGCCTATTACCACGGCAGGGGAATTTCTCCAAAGGAAAAGGACCTGTTGCTTCTCTAAATCCATGTGGTCATGGATCCAATCTTCCACTGCTAGATTTTGGTAAACATCACTAGAAACAGACTGGATAATGAGGCCTCCACCAGCTGTGCTCCAGAAGCAAGCTTTTGGAGTCCTGAGGACGCAGGGCAGCCAAAGGCAGTTCTTTACCGACTGGAGCACCATGTTTTTAATAACTGCACAGCGCATGGAAGGAATGCCTGCTCTGCTAATGCTGAATGCGGCCGGAGCGCAGCTGGCTCCTGTGACAGAGCTGAAAGGCGGGTAGCGGGCATGAGACACTCATGCTCTGCCCACAGCAGCACGGCAGCTCCCAGGCACGGCGCTGCCCCGCTGATGCCGCTCAGACCCGGCCGGAGCCTCACAGGACATCGGGGGTGTCACAGCAGCTGCTCCTCGCACTCCCTGGTGCCTGAAAGACCAAAGGAAGAAGCGGAATGTAATGCGTATTTTCCCCTCATTCAACGCAGCCTTGCTAATTCGATTTCACTTTGCGTAGTCCAGCTTTGTTAAGGTTTTCTGCCTTCTTTTCCATGGGGTTCCCGGCGCGGCGTGCCCTCAGCCCCCGACGCCGCGTCTCCGCCCGTACAGCCCCGCCGGGCGCCCTGCGCTACTCACGGCGTGGAGCGGAGCGGTTCCAGCGCCCGTCCGTGCTCCCGGGGACTCCTTGGAACCGGCGGCACCGGCAGCGCCTTCCGCTTCCCGGGTGAGAGGTCCTGGGGGCGGGCGCTGCGCCTGCCGTGCGCCGGGGAGGGTTGGGGGCGGTGGTGGCCGGGGAGAGCCCGGGGCTGCGGCGGTGAGGGCTGGGGGCGGGCTGCGAGCGCGGCCTGGTGCTCGGTGAGCGCCGGGGTCCCGCCTGTCCCAGCGCAGCCACGGCACCGGGCGGGGGATGGAGCTGGGCCGAGCGGCAATGACCAAATCACAGAATCACAGAGTGGGTCAGGCTGGAAGGGACCACACCGGGACATCTGGTCCAACCTCCTGCTCAAGCAGGGTCATCCCAGAGCACATGGCACAGGATTGTGTCCAGACACTTCTTGAATATTCCCAGTAAGGGAAACTTCACACCCTCTCTGGGCAACCTGTTCTAGTGCTCAGTCACCTGCCCAGGAAAGGTCTTCCTCATGTTCGGGTAGAGCTTCCTATGCAGTAATTCCTGGCTGTTGTTTCTCATCCTATTGTTTGGCACCTCCAAGAAGAGCCGGACTTCATCCTCTTCACACCTTTGCTTCAGATACTTTTGGGCATTTCCCACAATATTTACAGGGCAACAAGAGGCCAGTGCACGATGCATAAAATGGATGATTTTTCTTGCAAGACCCAGATGGGCAGTTCCTCTCTGCAGGATATTCTGGATGCTAGAAGCTTTTATGAGTTCACAAGGAGACAGAGTTAATGCAATTGCAGAGACTTGTGAAATATACTCTCTATGGTGCTCATGAAGATACAAAAGCTAAATGTCAATAACATAATTCATTAAGAAGCTGGAAAGTGATCAAAGACTAGACGTATTGCCTGCAGCAGATTGTCTTCAGATTTGCATTTAAGCCATTCTTAAAGTCTGCCAGACCTTAGCTATAATTCTTCATCAGAAGCTATTGTCTGTGCTTAAGCTTACACCGTGGGAGAATGTTCAGTGCTAGGTGAAGTTTTTTATGCACAGTAGTATCCCTATGGGCAAATATGTGCTGTATTTCTCTTGTTCATGGATGTGTATTTCTAAAAGGTACATTACATACCTTTGTCTTCCATTCTGCCTTAAAAGAACTGTGTGGGTGTGATAGGGCAAGTAAGAAACCATCACAACATGTGTGCTGGTGGTGATTAGTGAGAGAAACAGACTCTAAAAGGAGCTTGATGCGATGTGTGTGCCAGTACCTTTAAAGTTGTACTGCCACATTAAAAAAAAAAAAAGGGAATTTTTTTAAGCAATTTCAAATGGACAGAGCTTTTTGCTGAATAAGATTGGTAATCATTTTTCAGTGGAGTGAACTATTCTGTAATGCACAGGTTAAAAAAGTTAAAAAGCATGTGGAGTTTGTCCATAAAATCTGCTGGAAATCAATGTTGAAGGCAGTTGACAAAATGCAAACACGAACTCGTGCATTCTAGCACTGGTCAGAAGTATGGAAATGTGTCTTGTGAGACAACTGATGTTACTAAAACCCCCAAAAAATGTGGGACCACTTGTCTCCATTTTGGCACTTGATTCTTGAACGTTTGCAGTGTGTCATTTTGCCACAGGGTGTCCCTAAAAACCTACAGAGAGGTGTTGCAGTCTGTGTTTTTCTAGTCAAAAACTGTTTTCATAATTAGAACCATAATTTGCTAAAAAACATAAAGTGTGCAGAATAGTGGGTGGACAGATAAAAATGTCATGGGTCTGTTTCTGATAAGCTGAAGGATGAAATACACAAGCAACAATAAATGCCTTCCTATTGTTGAAGACAAATCCAGCAAGATAGAAATATTCTTAGAATAAGCAAAAGGTATGAATTTGTAAATGCACACCATGATTTATTTATATTGTCAGAATATAGAAATATTCTGACAATCAGCAAAAAGTATGAATTTGTAAATGCACACCATGATTTATTTATCTCTTCTGAATTGGGCATTTAAGTTTTTTTATGTCCCAACTACTATTGTATAAATCACATATTTGTGAAATATACCAAGTATTATTTTCACTTTTGAAAACAGTCCTGTATATGAATTGAATTTCTTTTTTGATCAACGAAGCATTGTTTGATATTCAAAAAGCAATGCAGCTGCTCTGTATAACGTTAACTTATATTAAGATATGAAAAATAATTCACCCTATGTCCCTTAGAGGATACCTTAGACATACCAGAATAAAATAAATTAAAATTAAATTGAATAAATCCTAAAATGAATTTTCATTAGGAATAATTTTGTTAAAGTTGTGAAAATATAAGATGCCATTTTTACATCTCTTTTGGAGATAAATGTGATAATACAGAGCCTCCACTTCCACCGTGCCAAAATTTGAAAGTAAGATTTACAAGAAATCTAGGATGGGGAAAGGGAAAAGAAAAATACTTGTTTCTCTAGCTCTGTGTCTGGAAATTAAAATCTTCCAATTTCTTTTCTGACTTTAGGTGGGGATTTTATTTCAGAGGTGTTTCTGACTCCTGATGTCTGAAAAGGCGAGCTGTATCCATGAGTGCTTAATAGTGGCTGCTTGCCAAAGAACCCCGTAACTCACCCTGCACTGTCTCCAGAATATAAAACCTGTGCTAGTGGCCAGCAGGAAAGAGAGGACATTCTGTCTGGTTTCTCTGCTTGACTTTGGAACTACCTAAAGCAGCCTCTCACAAGGGCTGTTTGTATCCTTGCCATGAGCAGGCAATAGGAGTCACGGGGTTCACATGGCCTCCTTACCCTTTTTGCATCACTTTCTTTGAAGGCACCAATCTGCTTCTCCCTGTCTGTGCTATTCCAAGAAGATATGTGCAGCCAGAGGTACTGTAAATAAGAACTCCTATCTTGGGATATAAGGAAACATAAGTAATTTCTCTGAAATTATTTTGTTGGTGGGATAAAGAAAAGCTTAATTACCCTTGTAATACTCTGATGTTTTAACTTCATGATGTTTGTAAACCAGTAATATATTATCCTGGCATTAAAAATCAGGATTGAGTTCAGACTGGTGTTTATCATATGTGTGAAGCTAATGTTTGACACTGTCAAGGAACAAGTATAGTGCAAAGAATAATATTTATTCTGGATGATACAACTGGCACATAGTCTTACAGATAGATGCATTAATTAGATGGGTTTTGGATAGAAGATAAGGTTTAATTAAAGGAAGCTATTTTCACAAGATTAAGTCAGTTTTATCTAACACTTGCTTTGTTCTTGTCAGGCCTGAGAGATTGTGTGGCAATTGCTGTAGTTTTCATCTGTGAAAGTGTCTCCTTGGATATTAGTTTCTGGAAGAGATGAACCTAATTAGAGTGGAGGTGTTCAGCTGAGCTCCCTGAGTTCACTGTCAGTCCCGCCTGATCAGCTGTGGCAGTTTCAGAATACCCATCTCTCTCCTGGGGCTGGGACTGACAAGACTTGGCTGCTTGGCTTTGTCTCTGAAATCCTGTGACCTGTAAGCATTGCTCATGCTGCCTTTCCCTGCCTCTTGTGAGGCTTTTGCATTAATCACATGCTCCATGTGTGGGCCCAGGAGCTTTGGGTTAAAGGTGCTTTAAAGAAATTCTTTGAAAGAATTTCACTTGAAGCAACAGTGAATGGTGGTATTGCATGTGTCTGAGTGTGCCAATTTATGATCCATCCTCCTGTTTCTATCCCCAAATAACTATGAAGATTTTAATTATTATTTGAGGAAATCATCTTTTTATCTGTCAAGATGGGGAGAAAGTGTTGTGTCACTTGAGGAGAAGCTTGGCTTAACTCCAACAAAAAAGCTCTTCAAAAAGATGTAGCAGGAACCAGTCACTCAGTATTCATTTGTACTTAAAATCAGAAATAAATATGAGCACCTTTCCTTGACTTTAGTAGTGTTTCTTAAGAAACTGTGCTCTACATCATAAACCTGATAGAGAAAGTTGAATTTTCATAGATAAGAGTTATTCAAAAACCTCCCAGGATGAAACCAAGTAGAGAAATAATTAAAATTTCTATGAAAGCGGTGGTCATAAATATTTATATCAGCATTAATGGGAAAAGGGGTTTGCTGATAATTTTGTACAATATTTTGCAATACACCTTTTTAAAAATTATTTTTAGGAATATTTCTAACCTCTCATTTTGTTTTGCCTATAGAATTTCAGTCATATACACCTGTAGGAACAATATGATCATCTTGGAAAGCAAGAGTAAAGAGTAAAGAAAATAAAAGTGCAGAGATGTCATGCTTACTGGAAAGCTGTTTGGGTAAGCTGTTGTGCTGGTACTGAGCCAGAAGTCAGTGTGTCAATCACAGCTGCTTGGTTTCTGTCCTATAGAACTCCTGTCTCAAGGAAATCAGAGTCATAGAATAGTTTGTGTTGGAAGGGACCTTAAAGACCACCTAGTTCCAACTCCCCTTTCATTGACAGGGACACTTTTCACTAGACCAGGTTGCTCAGAGCTCCATCCAGCCTAATAGTGAATACCTCCAGATGTGGGGACTCCACAACCTTTTTAGGTGAACTCTTCCTCATCACCCTCCAAAGAAGTGGATTCTTCTTGAAAATAAACAATTCCTCCCTATTGTGTAGTTTAAACCTTCCCTCCTTCAGCTTAGGGTCATTCCCCCTTGTCCTATCACTACATTCCCTTGTGAAAAGTCCCTCTCCAGCCTTCTTTAATCTCCATTTAGGTACTGGAGTCTCCCTGGAGCCTTCTTTTTCCAGGCTGAACAATCCCAGCTCTCTCAGCCCATCTTCAGAGGAGAGATGCTCCAGCCCTCTGATCAGCTTAGTGGCCCACTGTCACAGACATATTTTCTGAAAAACCCTTTTGACAGGATTTTTTCTCCTGAGAAGCTGAGAAGCCTCAGAGGAAAAGAAAAACAATAATATGCTGCTGTGGAATGCAACAGGTGCATCTTTGATTGGTCCATGTGAATTGTTTCTACTTGATGACCAATCACAGGTCCAGCTGTGTTGGGACTATGGTCAGTCACAAGCTTTTATTATCATTCCATTCCCTTGCTAGCCTTCTGATGAAATCCTTTCTTCTAATCTTTAATATAGTTTTAGTATATAATGTTCTTTTATTATAATATATATCATAAAATAATACAAATCAGCCTTCTGAAACATGGAGTCGAGATTCTCATCTCTTCCCTTGTCCTGGGAACCCTGTGAACGCCACCACAGCCCTCCTGAGGACTTACCCCAACAGAACAGTGTCTTTCTTGAGCTGGGGGTTCCAGAGCGTTCCAGGTGGGGTCTCATGAGGGCAGAGTAGAGAGGGAGCAGCACCTCCTTCACTCTGCTGGTCATGCCTCTTTTGCTGCAGCCTAGGGTGTGGTTGGTCTTCTGGTCTGCCAGGCCACATTGCCAGCTCATGTTGAACCTCTTGTCCACCAGCACCCCATTTCCCCACTGCAGCTCTCCATCCATTCTCCTCCCAGCTTGTGTCCATATCACTGACAGATGTTAAACAGCACCAGCCCAATATCAACCCCTGAAGAGCACCACTGGTCTCCACCTGGGCATTGAGTCATTGGCCAGTTTGAGTGCAGCCATCCATCTAATTCTTTATTCACAGAATGGTCCACCTGTGAAGTCCATGTCTCTCCTGATTAGAGACAAGGACATTGTGCAGGACAGTGTCAAATGCCTTGCACAAGCCCAGGTAGATGCTAGCAGTTGCTTTTTCCTCACCACTTACTTTACACCACTGCTGTAACCCTCTTGTAGAAGGCCTCCAAATTTGTTAGGCATGATTTGCCATGGTGAGATCATGTTGTGTGCTGCTAATTACTGTCACTGTGATATTTTATAAAAATTTCTTTGCCAGGATTTTTCTCCTGAGAAGCCTGAGAAAAGAATGAAACCAATAATTATCTGATTGCTTGGAATGTGGTCTGGGGGTTACGTACCAACAGGTGCATCTTTGATTGGTTCCCTGTGAATTGTTTTTAACTAATGACCAAACACCATCAGCTGTGTCAGACTCTGTGGTCAGTCATGGGTTTTTATGATCATTCCTTTCTAGCTTTCTGATGTATCCTCTCTCTTTCTTTAGTATAGTATTAGAATCATATCATATATCATATCATATCATAATCAGCCTTCTGAGAACTTGGAGTCAAATTCTCATCTCTCACCTCATCCTGGGGACCCTCACAACAACACAACAAATTACCTCCTTATTTTCCATGTGTCGTAGGATAGTTTCCAGGGGGATCTGCTCCACGATCTTGACAGGTACCAAGGCAAGAGTTACTGGCCTGTATTTCCCTGAGTCTTCCATATTTCTTTTCAAATCAGTGGTGAAATGTGTCACAGCAGTAAATTCTTACCACTATATGGCAAGTGTAGTGTAAGTATATATTTTAGGATATATAAATATTATCATGTTTTCCAAAAAGTGCTCTTTCACTAGTTGGTAAAGGTAGTATTGTGAGTGAGCAAATACTGTGTGTAAATTTGAGTCCTCGATGCTCAGTGAGGTACTGAAGGTGCCAGTTGCTGATTGCTGTGATCTTTCCGTTCCCTAGGACTAGGGAAATGGACATAACTGCAGAACTTGAGTGACTCTTTCAGAGAGAACAGTATATTAGGATGGGATTCACCTAATCTGCACGATATGTCAGCAGTGATGATGACTGTAATAGATATCTAGGCTGTCTTTATCATCAGAGGTACTCCTAAGATGTGATTATTTAGTATGAATGCCAAAAACGATTGTAGGAATCAATTTCTACAAATTACTCTTTGTAGTGACTCAAAATTACATTAGTTTGCTCTTAAACAAATGGGATTTGATGTGCAATTTTGGATTTCTGAATTGCAGTTTATCTTCAGAATCTGTTTTAGGCTCTTACATGACTTTCTGGATTTCAACAATACTTACTTGCACACTACTTATTTCCATTGCAGAAATTCACCTTTCATGGACCTTAAACAAACATGGTGGCCTACTTTCTATCATATTTAAAAATTCATTAGATATTCCAGTAGAAATCTACCCTTGGTTTTGAACAGATATATTTCAAATTAATTAACATTTTGCTTTTATGTCCCTTTCTTTCCTGTTAGATACATATTAGAAGGACGTTCAGGCATATTTGCAATATAACAAAGAAAGAAAAATACAGACATTCAAAAGTTACTTTAAAGTATTATATAGATATTTATTTTAATTAGATATCTGCTTCATCTTCATTTTAAAAAGTATATTTATCCATTTTACATTGAAGTATCAATAATTACAAAAGTTTTATTTCTGTGCATGCACTCTCTCATTGATGCTAATGCAGGTTATGTTACAAAGAGAATATGAAATAAAGCAAGGGTACCACCTTGAGGCTTGATGCCTTTATTTAGTCACTGGAAAAGGACACAGACTGCCATAAATGTGAGACTGAGAATTTGTTGAAGGCATTAAGAAACACATTCTCAAGTCCTAAGTACATCTCTACTTGTGGCAGCATAAAAAATCATCCATCCAGGTGAGTTTGGGAAGTCACTCTGGAAGAGGAGGAATATATTTTTTAGAATATATCTCATGTTAAACTACTAGAGCTGCAACTACCAGGAAAAAAAACTAGTTGATTGTAAACAGAAGGATGTGTAAAATGGGAATGGGCCAATAATAGAAGTTTTCTAACCAGATATAATAAGAAAGTGTTTCAAGTTTTGTTTCTCTGCTTTAAGACTATATCACCATATTCTTTAAGGGAGTGGTTTCTGATCCAGAAGTCTTGAAAATATTGAGAGAATGTGAAGAACTTGAGTCAACATGGAAAATAAATTAATGTCATGGCAGAAATTCATGGTAGCTTTAAAGTTTTAGCAGCTGAGACAGACAAAATTCTCAGTGTTTATGAACAGGTAAATTTATTTATATTTGTGTGATTACTTGAAATAACAAGGTAATGTGCAAGAAAAATATGTATTTTTGTCTTCATATGAAAGAAAAAAAGAAAGAATGCTAAGTATTTGTTTAAAAAATATTTTTTAAAAAGTTATGGAAAATTCTGTGATTTGAATCTGTCAGTTCAATACAAGTTTGTAAGTGCTGTCTTGAGTTAAAAATGCTTTCCTGAATCAAAGAATCTGTGCACAAATGATTACTTCATCTTTGATATTACACAGTTCTGGGATGCTCTAGCCAGCCACAGGACCCAGTAATATATTGATTATCTATTCCATGTTTCTGTTATTCTACTATTTTCAAAAACAGGCACAGGAGGAGATTTCCCAGCTTTGTCAGGAAGTTATAAAATCCCCCAGGACTCCTAAAAGCATCACTCCTGTGACAGCTCAAGCTGTATTAAGACACATGGAGCCAGAAAGGAATACAGCACTGTCAGATTGCCAAAGGATGCCTACAGAACATGCTAGCCTCAGGGAGCAGTTACAGGTTGGAGTCTGTCCCATCCCACCTCAGCCCCACCCCACAGGTTATTTAAACATGAAAACTACCTAGCAGTGTAATTAAAGTTGCTAAGGATTTCTCTTCTGGTTCTGAAAATTAATTGCTTTACAAGTCTGTGGTGAGTTGAGACTTGTTTTATAAGGGATTTTTTTGTTGCTGCTGTTATTTGATAAAGATTTCCCAAGAAACTCCTTTTAATGAAAGGGCTCATTTGGAACAGAGAATTGAAGAGCTTTAAACTATTATTCACAATGTAAGGGAAAATAATTATTTATGGAATTGTAAATATAATACAGGTGGTGTTATTGGTCAATCCTGCAGCACCAGCCAGACTGCTGTCAGGAAACAGGCTGAGAGCAGTGGATGTTATTTACCAAGACTCTTTTCCCTCTACTCTACTCTGCTCCTCAAAGGCACCACCTGGAGAGCTGTGTCCAGCTCTGGGGTCTCCAACATAATGATGACATGGACCAGAGGAGGCCATGAAGGTGATCAGAGTGGGCTGGAGCACCTCTCCTACAAAGACAGGCTGAGAGAGTTGGGGTTGTGCAGCCTGGGAAGACTTCAGGGACATCTTTTGGCACCTTCCTGTACCTAAAGGGGACAAACAAGAGAGCTGGGGAGGGGTTTTCACAAGAACATGTAGTGACAGGGCTAGGGGGATGGTTTTAAACTGGAAGACAACAGGTTTAGATTAGATACAAGTTAGAAATTTTTGACTGTGAGGGTGGTGAGGAGCAGGTTGCCCAGAGAAGTTGTGGATGCCCCATCCCTGGAAGTGTTCAAGACCAGTCTAGATGGAGCACTCAGCAACCTGATGGGATGGAAGGTGTCCCTGCCCATTGCAGGGGGTGTGGAACAAGATGGTCTTTAAAGTCCTTTCCAACTAAAACCATTCTGTGATTCTGTGACTTTAAGACTGTACCAGGCTTTGTCAGATTTACCCACAGAGATCTTATATCCAGGTGAGGATTGGCTTGTTTCACCTGGAGTAGAAGTGGCTTAAGAGGGACATAAGTCCTACCTGCCAGTAGGTATGACATCAAGAAGTCATAAATAGGCTTTTTACTGCAGTGCTTGGTGGAAAGATGAGCAACAATGGGCATCCACTGAAGCCAGAAGGGTTCAGGCTGAATACAAGGAAATACTTGCTTCTCATGAGGGCAGTTGAGCAGTCCCCAGCCTTGGAGATTTTCAACACTGGACTGGGCAAAACCGTGAGCAGCCTGACCTCAGAAATGGCTTTGCTTTGAGCAGGAGTTTAGACTAGAGACCTGGAGTCTATTTAAATGTGAATTATCTTATGACTGTGCATTACTAAGACCTGATGCTTCAAAGCTAAATGTAATTGCACTCTTCTGGCAAGTCGGATTTAATAGGGTTTAAGTTACTTGTGTGTGCAATTGTTAGCTAACAAATGGCACTAAAATAGAAAATGGAAACATTAATATAATGAATATAAATCCTAAATTTACTTACAGTCTTGGTAGAACTTTATTTTAAAATAAATTAACATTGATTTCTGCAGTATATCTTTCTTCTAGATCTTATGGTTTTAAATTCTGGTTTATCTTCTTTTTCCACCTCAGCCTTCTAAAATCCTGCCAAGCTTATAAATATAATACCACAGTTTATAATATTAAATAGAGTGCATCTGATATGAAGAATACACTGTAGGCTGAAATAGCTCTGAGTAGTAAATTAACTTTAATCACACTCCTACCTGTGACGTGTAGTGATATTGGGAGCCCTGTTTTAGGTACATCATCTTATTTCTCCAGTTCTTTTGGTACCCTTTGAGAGCAATACATCAACATGAAATTCATGGCACTAGTACTGAAGAAGCCACTGTATAGCAGAGGCTTACAGACTTGCTCTTTAGAGGCCTGACCTTTGATTGTATTAACACAGAAATTAGTACTGAAAAAATTGGTAAAGGAAGAGAGGGATGAGGTGAGAATTTCTGTACTTTAAAATATGTGTTTCAAATAATTTAGAAAGGACAATCCTTTGAATTGAATCCAAGAATGTTAAGTGTAAGCATTTTAATAAAAATATAGAGGTTTCTTTAGACTGAAAATTTCAAACCAGCTTTGAAATTTTCAGTCTAAAGGAGCCTGTGAAGGAGGCTTTTGATCTGTTCTTTGTTTTAGCTGAAGGCCTCATGGTGGTAACTGGTGCTTTACATGGTGCTTTATGCAAGTGTTTTAAAGTGATTTGTCTACCTGGTTATTGACATAAGCATGTAACTTAATAGAGACCTAAAGCCATTATTGGTCATGTTGTGTCCCAAACCATGATTTCTCCCTTCATACACTCATAATAATGTTTTCTTTCATGTTAATTTGCACTGAAAACTTTTAATGTTGATCAATGGCAAGCATTTTTGCCCTTGAGCATTGTTACCAACCAAAAATGTATGTGAATAAATGAAAATATTCCCAGAGATCTAAAAGATGGGAAATCAATTTACCTTCAAAGGATGTGAAAGTCACATTTCAGGTGTTTGCCAACTATTTTCAGTAAACTGATGGTTGAGTAAATGAGATACTTGGACATTTCTTCTTCAGCAAAAGATTTGTGCTAAAACCAGTAAAAATTGAAATAAATTCTATAAATCAGTTCTTTTTATTTTTGCCAGCTGTTAGTGTTTGATTATATTTGTAGTTAGATAGTGAACAGTTAGATGTCTAATGTGGCACTGATGAAAGACACCATTGATTCTCTGGAAACTGAGATGAAAAGATTGACAAGAAAAGACTGGATTCTGACACTGAGTGAGTTGACAGGAAGCTGAATATGCTTCTCTTAGGTAAGTAAAAGTATGTAATTGCATTAATTTGACTAATAACACCAGTCTATGTCTTGCCACAGCAGGCCCCTGACTGGTAATAATTAGCATTGACTCCATGATTCTCAGAAGGTTGATCAGTCTCTTTATTATTCTATTCTCATTAAAAAACCCATTGCTTTTATGCACAGTTACAATACACCTGGACCTAATTGGTCCTCCAATCTAAACACCATCACCATTGGCTAATTAAGAAACCACTCTTTGATAAACAAATCTCCATAACACATTCCACGTGTTCACAACAGGTGCAGCAAGTGAAGGTAAAAATTGTTTCTCGTTCTTTTCTCTGATTTTCTCACAGCCTTTCCCAGAAAGGCCTGGGAAATTTGTGGGCTGCTCTCTGTAGCCAGAGAGCTGCTGCCACACCTATGTTCACTGGTTTCTGTAACTTTTATAAGGGAAAGAAATTTATGAAAGCTGCTTATGAACCATCATTCATTTTGGAATGAAATTGTTTTCTTCATTGCTTATTTATATGTAAATGTTCTTGTCTTATTGATATCATGATATGGTGGAAACCATCTTCAGTGAAAAAGTAAGATTAATTTAATTTAGAGTTAGGAGCTTTCTATTAGAAACTATGAGAATTGATGGGTTTTGGTAAATATCATATGAATAATTTTATTTTAATTTTTAAATTTAAAAAAAATAAAAACAGGTAAACATGCATAAACTAGCAAATGTCGTGTTGTTAGTTTTAAAGAGCCATTTCTTACTCTTGCAGCCTTTTCATGAGAGGAAGTAAAACTGAATCTTTTTGTAGGGCTTATTGTCTGCTGCTCCACTGGAGCTCCCAGTCACGTTCAGAAGCATAGTGGGACTAGGCTCGATCAAACCCTTTAGGGAATAGAAAATATGTCAGTGAGTGCTGCTTTATAATAAATTGTCAGATTTATGAACACTGTTGAATTGTTGAAAACTAGGTGCTGCTACTGAAAGATCTTTTTCTTTACATCCCCAAACCAAACTGATGATTCTTTTCAGTTTCCTGAACAGTGTGAGAATCATGAATATTACTACATTTGAACAGATCACTTGGTTATAACTTGAAACAGGTCAGGCATTCAAATGGATGTCTCAGGGGATGGTTTTTATTTTAATTATTTTTGTGGCTTTCTTATAATCACCTGTTGCAAAGAATTCTTCTTACTTTTCTGTAATCCTTTAGACAATTATTCACTTACACAATTTAATACACTGAGATTAAACTTAACATTAATAAAATATTCCAAACAGTCTGAAATAGACAGAAAAATCTCAATTTTTTCCTATCTTTTGGAATTTTAGTGACCTTTCTGAAAGAAAAAAAAATAGTATATCAGTGTCTGAATTCTCCTGTTTAATGCTTCTGCTTTTCCAGTTTATTGAATGAAAAGACAGAACTGAGTGTTTCAGAGATTCATTGAAGTCTTGTGAAAAAAAAACTTGAAATGCAACTTAGCCAAGAGAAAATGATGCATTTAAATTAAAAAACTGGTGAGTGACAGATCCAATTTTTATAATAAAATTCAATAGGCTAATTTTCATGTTCTGCAGTCATCTTTTTTATGGGTTGAAAGAAAAGGTATTGAATGCAAATAAATAAATATACTTCTGAAAGTTTTAACATTTTGAATGCAAAACTCTTGTTTTCTTTCATTATTGAAAGCTTTTTGCATTTTAAAATTGTGTGACAGAGCTCTGGCATGTGTAAGTTTCAGTGACAACACATATTGTATTTATGTTTCTTCAAGAGTTACTTTTGGATAGAAGATACTTGAAATAGTGGTTTATAATACAGCCTTACATTACCTACTGTGTTATTTATCTCTGTGCAGTTCCTGGTGAAAGTAGTTAAAATATTTCTAGTGTCATCTCATGCACACACAATACTCCTGCACTGATGTGTTTTCCAGGCAGCAAGAAATGTATCTTAATACCTGTAGGAGTTCATCACTTCTGTAGGTGATGTGAGTTTTCTTCTTTTTCTTCAGCTTCTTGCCTTCATTTGGGTTTTTCGGTACTTGATCTGTGAACTTGCTCTACTGCTCACTTGACTTTCTCTTCCTCTAGAAATGCTACTCAGTTTTAAGGGAGCAAATTACCTGTACCTAATGTCAGGTGTATAGAACTTCTAAGTCATTAAGGGACCCTTTTAAGTGAAGAAAAGTCCTCCAGGAGATTGATCCCACCCCAGTTTTTAAAGTGATTAATTTTACCTCTCTCCCTTCATTATAGAGGTAGTATAGCTAATGGATTTAGATCAAGTGTTTAATTCTTAGGTGAGACCAAAATTTAGGTGAGACCACTTGCATTCTAAATAAATTTTCTCCCAAACATACTAATTTTTTGTCTTAAGTGCCCTCCTGGAAAAGGTGAGGTTGGTAGTGGGTTTGACTGCCAAAGGTTCATCAGGGAATCACAACTTCACCTTCTCTTGGAATCACACTTTATAAGGATGATGTCAGCTGGAACAAAATGCAGCTTCCTGGTGCTCCCAGCTACTTTTCAAAGGTTCACAGTTTTCTTTGCAATACCTGGATGCTTGTAGAAGCAGTGGGAAACAAAAAATATTAGTATCATAGGATGAAGTACTTTTTAGTAGAATTGCCTCTGGAATATGTATTGATTCCTACAGGCCCTTCCATTAATTGAGGTGATACTCCAAGTATTTAAAGTATTATCATTTCTTTGCTTGGGTTTACTGGAAAGTTTCCAGAACACCTTTCTCAGTAACTCACAGCATTTTTGCAGCAGGAATAGGGGTTTCTCCATAGAGCCTTCCCCACACTACCACCCCTTCCCCCAGTTCTTACAGCTGAATTCTCCTAGCAATTTTGCACAGAAGAAATTTCTGAACTGTGCAGTTGAAGACAACCTTTCTGCAGCTCTTTTCCCTTCTTCTGTTCACTTTCTCAAGCAATAGTTCTCAGAAGTTCTGTGTCTGTTCTCCTAATACTTGTAGCTTTATTTCTCCTGATTGGGAGATAACCACTTGATTAATTACTGTGTAAGCAATTACATAATAATTAAAATACTTTATTTTTATCTGTCTTCTACTTTTAAAAATATAGGCTTTTAAAAAACTGTAATGTAAAAAGAAATGGAATTGATTGAGCTCTACTTGTTAAATGGGACAGGCTTTTTTTTAATGACAATCTAGATGCTAAATAAACCATCTTTTTTTTTTATTTTTAACTGTAACATTCCTTTACAGACATTTTTCTTCTTTATAAGAAGATTTTTAACGTTATTTATAAGTAAAAAATATTTTTCACAAATGAAAAATTTGCTTTATAAAAATACACATAATTTACATTTCATATAGCCTTTAAACACCAGTTAATAAAGCTACAGACCTTAATAAAGCCATAGACCTTAGATACACACTAATTATTATTTTTTTAAGGTACAAGCAGTATACCTAATCCTTATGGAAAAAACTTTTCTTCATAGGTACTATATAAAAAACTAGCAAAGTACCAAACTGAGCTTGATGATATGAAGTTGAAAGCCCAGAGTTCAAACAGAGATATTTTCAGGATGAAGCATGTGCTGAAGTCTAAAATGAGTATACAAATTAAAACTGCTGGTTTTTACCAAAAAATTTAATTTTTAGATATCTCTATAGAAGAATTAGCTTCCAAACCAAAACTCATTTGCATTCCCTTAATTTGGTTTTAGTAGTTTGGACACATTTTCATGGCTGTTTTTGCAGTACAAAATTAATGTAGAATATTTCATTGTGGTTTTGTATATATATATGTACATATATAAAAAACACACACATGTGTGTGTTTATTGAACTTAAAAAATCAGACAGGAAATAATACATAAACTTGGAACTCTTTTCTCTTTATTATTTTATAGGATTAAAATAAAAAGAAATATTACTGCAGTATATTGCTATACCTTGTGTGTCTAATGTTAACCTAACCATTCTTAACAGATGTCTATTGATCATTAAAATGTGCTCATCTTGGACAAAACTCTGGTTTATGAGGAGTCTCTCAATATTTTCACCAAATGGCAGAATTTTCAGCGGAAAGAGTATATCCAATACCATATCTGTAGGTCTATAAATATCCCTATTTTTTGGAGCTTACAGTAAATTATTAAATAAATAATCTTTACGTGTTTGGAGAGAGAACTGTGAGCTCTTATCACAAAGCCTGTGATCAAGGAGAAAGTTGGGAAGCAAAATGCCATGAAGCAGAAACAGGCTTTTCCTGTTAGACTGGCAGAGATCAGTGCAGTCTGAGAGCCACAGTTGGAAAGGGAAAATAGAGTCCCTTGAAACACAGATGGAGCAAGTGAGTTGAAATCATTCTTTCCATATTTCACCCTTGAAATGGTCTGGTAATATTTAAAAATTATGTTTAATGCCACTTCTATTTCAGGGAGGTTTTCCACCATGAATGTATGCATTTTACTTTATATAATAATATGATTAGAATTCCACTAGTCACATTTGGGGAAAAAAAATATAAAAAAAATTCAAGGAAAATAAAAAAATTAAATGCTCTTGTGGTTTGGAATCACTGAAGGCATAAAGTCATACACAACTCCACTCAGCATACCTGAATCATATGAAGTACTTTGTCATCTGTCACGTTCTTGTTCCTGCTCTTTTTGCTTTGAGCTCCTTAGCCTTCTTTCCACTGCTTTAGATGTCCCAAAGAGCCTCTTCCCACTTGAAGATCTGAAGAATTTTAAGAAAAATTCATAGCTTGGCTTTGGAAATACGTTGTGAGCATATAAACATGGTTTGGGGGCTCTCCAGTTTTTGTTGCAGATCATCTCTGCTTCCTGAACATCACATAAGCTGCTGAGGGCTATCGGTGATAATTTTTGTCCAACATCCTGGAGGAAGGATGAGGAGGACTCCATCTTATCAGCAGTCTAATTAATTAATTTATTATACTATCTTATTCTGTATTATATTACATTCCATCTAAACTGAATCTGCCAAGCACTCAACTGCACTCCGCTGCACAGCATCTTGTGACTGTGAGCTGACAGTCCCAGCACCCACACAGATTCAATTGGTCAGTGAATCAAAACACTCAGACCAGAATCCAATTATCAATTCCCTTCAGGTAAGCAATCTTCCACAATGCATTCTACTTGTGAACAATACAGGAGCAGTAAATGAGATAGGAATTGTTTTGATCATTCTTTTCTCTGCTTCTCTTACTGCTTCTCTCAGGTTCAGAGAATGTGAATCCCACAGAAGGCTACTCAAGAATATTAGATACTCTAGAGGAACCAAACTGTTCCTGTGCATAAAGTGGATGAGAACACAGCAATAGCAAAACAGCACAGGAGGATGGTGTGGCAGATTTTAGAATTCCTTGAAGATATGATAAAGCTGGTACATGGTTCTAGTTTGTCCAACAAGCCTGAAACCAGCAGACATTTCATCCTTCTAATCCTTCCCACATGCCTGCTATTAAGTATAGGAATGAGCAGATCTCTTCATGGACACTATATCAACATACTGGGTCAGACTTCCCAATGCCATATTCCAGTTCATACAGTTACATGCAAGGCACGTATCTAAAACACTGACGTTTTTATTCAAAAATCTTAATGTGCTCAGCAGTGCTCTGTGTTCCTTGTGCTTTTTTTTATGTGGTGAGACAGAGCTAGAATTAATGTGATGTGCTCCCATAAAATAATCTCTTTGGATGTCATTTCTAGTAAATCCTTCAAGCAAATCACAGTGCCTTACCTCTCACTTTGCTCTGTTAACCTCCCACACTCATTCTGCCACCCACTGAAACTTAAGGAGTTGAAAGTGGCTGACCAGGAATATCACTGAGCAAAGTACAGGCATTTTTCAAAAATGAAAAACCTAGGTTATGTTAATTTGAAAGGTACAAAATTCTTAATGCTTTTAGTCAGACCTGCTGCTGCTGCCTTGTGGACTCCACTTTAATGTGACTCTCTCATCTCTTAGTCATGCCTGAATTTACAGGTGACAGGAATATAAACATGACTGACAGAATCTCAGCATCCACAGATCATCTACATACAAAACCTAATTTTATTGCTGAAATGAGAAGATCTCATCTGAAAATAAAATGTGGTCCATGGCAGAATTTTCAACCTTATTAACACTGCAAAAAGAGTAGAATTCTAAGAATAGAGTTTAAAATGCCAGATAATTTTGCTGTCAGAAGCAAGAACTCCTCTAATTTTTGTATACAGGAGTTATTTAAAGAAATAACTTTAAAGTTTACTGTAGAATAAATTACTGCAGCCTCTTAAAATTTGCCACAATTACATGGAGATATTTTGTAGGATTTTGGAAGCTGCTTTAATTATTTTTTTAGTAGAGTTTTATATTACATTGCTGTATCATTTAATAACAGAGGCAGCATACAAGTCTCCTATTTTTGCCTTAAGCAACTCTTGTGAAAATGGGCAGAGGGCCTCAAAATATACCTTAGGAGAGTGTCTCTGTACTTGAAAATGCCACATCTACACCAGAACTTTGCATTGAAGTAGATGCAATCAAAGAATGATTAAATTAGCATTTAATTTCCACAGCAGAGAAGGTAGAAAGGGTATGTGAAATATATTAGAAAAATAAGTTTATGTTAATATTACACTTAAGGGATTCAAATATACTTTAGGATTATGAATGATCACATTTGCAATTTTTTCAGTGTTTAATTTGGCATTTCTCAGGGGCTTACTCCTCAAAGGGGGTATGAGTTGAACACTTTTTGAAAAGGACACTGCTTCACTGCTTTGCAGGGTTTTACTATGAACACTCAAAAGTCAGGGCTAAAAATTACTGTTGTTTTCAAGAAAGATATCTTGGATTTTACATCTAGTCACTAGGGAAGCAGAATAGCTGAAGCTGTTTGTTAGCAATGAAACTAGGTGTGGGTCAGGTATGTCCATTGACTAATTTAGGAAGTACCAATATCTTTAATATTTTTTTAATTTCCCTTGGAAATCAGTTTTTGTTGACCTTGATTTTTACATAAACTACAAAATTATTATGTGATACATTTTTTAAAATTCAGTTTGGATAAACTTTGAAAAGTTGTTCATACACCCTCAGATTATTCAGGTATTTTCAGTATGATGCTATTGCTGACCTGTCCATCCTGTGCTCCAGCTGAGATAATTTCTTGTTCTTTATAGGCTTCCAGCAGTCTCTTTAAACCTTTATGCCTTTTGGAAGCAGAGTGGGTAAAGCTGCTGTTTGCAGTTGGTTATGCATTCCAGCCAAATGTGTGATGTTTTTTGTATCCTTGTGAAATCCTCTATGATTCTTTTGATATGAAAGAGTTCCAGCATAAGACATTTATCTGAAACTTTTATGAGATCTAATATGGCTAAGCCTCCCTGGATCCTTCTGTGAAGGGGATTGCTGGGACTGTGGAGAACAGCAACAGTTTCAGGAGAGAAAACTGCAGAAATGCAGTTGGAGAGTTGGAGAAAAGTCAGAAGTTGGGAAATTTTCACTATTTTTTCTGTGTCTTTCAACCAGTAGTCTTTCATTAGCCATGTATAACCTTCAGATAAGGCTCTTGCTGTACACAGTATTCTAGCACAGAATCTGCATTATTAGACTTCAGCATATTTATATTCAGAAGTGGAAACTAAACCTGATTCTGAATAATGTTGTTCTTTCAATGTTTCTAATACTGTTTATTTTCCTGTATCTTCTTCTGTCTACAGTTTTCAGTATTCTTTTTTTCTGAAATGCAAATGTAGAATATCAAAACTGTTTCTCTGCAAAGGAACTAGATTTTTGAGTCACATGGAAAATGGGATCTTTCAGAAAGAAGAAACCTTTCGGTTTAGTTTGGTAAAAAAAAAAGACTTTTGATAAGTGACAAATGCTTTTTTCTTGCCTTTATCTTTCTTTTTTCTTTTTTTCCTCCCTTCTGTTGGCCTGTGATCTTAGTTCTTCCTCCTTTGAACACACAAATGGTTATCTTCTGAAATTTCTGAGAAATGTGCTGGAGAGGTGGAGAGTTTGTTAAGATGTCCCAGTTCATAGATTTCCCATGGCCTTTGGCTGAGCATTATTGTGCTTAATGTAAACTAGGCTTGAGTAAAATATAGATAAAAGTGTTGCAGCACCCCAGACTCAGCTAGTCAGACTATAATGCATACATGAAAAGATGAAGAGAAAATACCATCCAATTTACTTATACTAAGATTGAAACAGGCAGTTTTCTTTGTCTCTGTAGCTGACCCAATACTGATTTTCCTGATTCTCAGCCTCTGGAATTACTTTTTAATGTGTGTTTGTAGCTATGTCTCAGGTATGTCCATTGTTCCTTCTGCAGTGAAATATGCTGGGGTTTTTGGGTATTCTTTTTTAGGTTCCTCAAAGATATATAGATATTTAATCTCTTAATATTTGATTGGATTTTATTAATTTTCCCTTTCCCCCCAGTTTATTCTTGATGCTCCTGTAAGTAAAATAAGTGTAATCTCACACTGCTGGTGATGCTGGTACCAGTTTGTAGTATCACATGTTATTTCCTGTGTGCAAACAGTTAATCAATAGCTTCTTGCCTCAACAAAATGTGAAACTTCCTTCCTCTTCATTAATGATTCTGTCTACAGAATCCATTGATCTGTCTATTTCATAGCATTTTCTCATTTGTATCAAGTATATTTATATTAAGATATATACATTGGATTATTTTATAAATCTCACAGAAGATTTTGACTGGGAAAATATAAAACTAACCACCCATCTTGCAGTGAAAACGAACTTTGTCATTGATCCCAGACTTCCTTTTTAAATTACTATCTTTTTTTTAAAGATTACCCCAATAGAATGCCAGTAAGCTTGATAGACATACAGCTGAAACTTTAAAATCTTTGTTTTTCTGCAGAGCAAGTGTGAATCAAACCATTCTGAAACAGAACTGCTGAGAAAACAACTGGGAAATGAAAAAGCATCTATGAAAAACCTGGAATCTTCTCTTGTGTCCAGTTGTGAGAAGGATTTTCAGTCACAGAGAGCAAACCAAGAGAAAGTCTCTGAAATTCAGGTTCACAAGGAACAGCTTGCTTTAGTAGAAAATAATCTGTGAGTAAATGACCAGGAGAGTATTGCAGTTTTTCTCACAATTTCCAAGTGTATTTAAACAGAGGTAGTTTTATATCTAGCTGCATTTTCAAATGGCCAATGTGCCTTGACTATATTAATAGCAGAAAATACCAAGAACCTCCTTTGGATTTCTCAGTTAAACCCTAATAAACTCTTCTTCATAGTTTTACATTTTGCTCCAAAAAAAATTCCTAATCTCATTTGCATAGTATAGCTGCCCTTTTGATTTTGAATAATTGCATGTGGCTACACGCTTGGAGAATTACAGTTGCTATTAATTAATGTGTATGGGCTTCAGAGTGCTGTGCAGAATCAAGATTTTACTCACCTCAGAAACAGAGCAGCTCAGTTAGAGTCAGAACTGGATATCACCAAAACACAGCTGGGGACTGAACACTCTGATAGGCAAGTATATGTTTTTGTATTGTGCTTCCTGCAGCTAATTGGGGTGAAATGCAGTATAGTGCTCAGACTTAGGCTAATTAGTCAGATAAACAACAAAGTTTGGGTTTACACTGCTCTACATCTCCTATGTGTTCAGAGACTATTCATGTCTCTAAATTTAGTCTGTTCAGCTGTTACACAGGCTGTCTAAATTAGTTATGTAGGTTGCATGTGTAGCCAACAGAATGAGACAGTGAGATTACCCTCTGGAATAGCCTGGTTTAGGATGAGGCAGGTCACTTTCCATCTCTCTTCACTCATTTATACTGATGCCTGCCTTGATTTATAGTGAAAATCCACGTGAATAGTCATTTATACAGGTGCTCTATATCCTACTAGTTCTCTGCACCTCTGGAATGATTTTTGCCTGTACCAACCCCATTTTCCCAGGTACTACTTGAATATAGGTGATTCCCAAATGACAGTGTGACTATTATATATATATATATATTTTTTTTTTTTTTTTTTTTTAATTTTGCAAGAAGAGAGTTTAACAACATGTAGGAACTATTTCACAAGACTTGGCCACAGCAGCAGAGAATGGTCCCTGTCCTGCTTCATGCATTAAATCATCTATGTAGTCTTGGTGTCTTACCAAGATAAGATAGTCTTCTTATCTTTGAAAAACAATACTTTTATATTTCATGGATGTGTTGAGGATAAAATATTACAGTTTTGGGTATTATTTTGGATATGTAAAACAGCAAGCTAAAAGAAGCAGAGTGATGTGATTATAGCACAGGTCTGAGAATGAGGTGTCTCATTTAACTAGTAAGTTGTTGATATTCTGTTCTCTCATAAGTAAGGATGAAGGATCTGAAAAGGACATCTCTGGGAAGATCATCTTCTTCATGGGAAGAAATTAAGCAGCTTCTCAGAGCCAAAGTATTTTTTGGCCACTGGCACATGAAAACCAGAATATTTGCCATATAAGAAAAATACTATCATTAATATTATCATGTTAGTAGATAATGGAAGCAACAGCTGTGAGTAGTGAATGGTTTGTTGTTAGTTTGAAGAGGGAATGTGCTATCCTTTTTGTAACAGTGGCTGGACTAGTCCTACTTATTCACTGCCTTGGTGCAGAATGAAATAATGCCTGAAATTAGGAGGTGGAAGTGCCAACATTTTCAGACCTTGAATAGGCACCAAAACAGTGATACCAGGAGGCTTCATCCATCAGTCTGGCTCTTTCTTTACCAGCCAGGAAAAGCACCTGCCCATCCCTCCCATCTCTCTGACTGCAGAAGCAGTTTGGACTCCTGTGGAAACAGCAGGATTTAATTATTGTCCTGCCCTGGCTGTGGTGACCAAGCACAGGGACTGTTGGGCTTGCTGGGCTGGAGCAAGTCCTTTTGTTGTCCCTAGATCCAGCTCCCTGAGGCAGTGCTGAATGTGATCATTCCCCAGCAGGCTTTAGTGACCTTCAGTGAATGTGATCATTCCCCAGTGACCTGTTTCAGTGGTCCACTCCACAGGTAGGTCTGTGGTAATGGCTGAGCCACACTGAAACCCAGGAGTTGTTGTAGTCACCCTATCTATGTATTCACCCAATCCAACACAGACTAGATTTTCCTTAATGTAAACATCTGACAGACTGAAAACAGGATCCCAGAAAAGCATGTACCTTCAAAACATTCCAATGGATTATCCAGTCCCACATACTTCCTTCCCATACAGCCAGATGCAGGAGTTATGGATTGAACTAATATCCAGGCCCCATCTCTTGCACTCAAAATGACTGGACTGCCATTTTGCAACTTTCCCTTTGGGATTCCAGCATTTCTTAAATATCCATCAGTTTCAGGGCGCTTCAGAAGACTTTACTCCACTGGCCTTGCCAACTCAAACAGCACAGGAATACTGCAAGCAGCACTGTTCTTACTTTTGAATAACCTTAAAATTAAGCTCTTCCTCCCAGGAGATGTTTACACTTTTTCATTTTAAACCTGCATTTACCATGGATATCTTCTGTCTTTCAGTGAAAAATGAGACAATAGATACATAGAAATAAATCTCAGTAAGAGAGATACAAGGAGACTCACTAATCTGTCTTTCAGAGAAATATTTGATGGAAACTACATTTCCTTTTAAAATGTTTAGAAGCTGACAGCATGCATAAAAAATATTGCCAGTGGAGGGGGAAGAAGTCTCAGTTCATGACTTGCTTTTGAGATGATTATGTACTTCCAAGTTTAATTTGTTCACTGAGATTATTTCCTTTGGCACTTGACTAATCTTTGCTATCAAAGGCTTCTCTAAGTATTAAAAATGGTTCCCAATAATAAGAGACAAGTTTCCTCGGATCAGCGAGCTGGTTCTGGTGCTCTTAGGAATAAAACACAGCTGTGCAGGACAATTATTTTTTAGCTACTGCCAATCCTTGATAGAAAGTACAGGGAGTCTTCATTCCTCTGATAGAATTGTGTCTACTCCTCCTTCATCTGAGTACAGTGTAGCTCTTAAATATGTTGAAAGAAATATTGTGTCATTTGGAACAGTTTCATTTACCTTTAACTACCATAACAGTTTCTTCTATTTTGATACTTACAAAGAGGAAACAATCCGTGTAGTCACCACACTGTTACTAACAATTATGGTGCTTTTTCTATTTGCTTTACTCCCTTTCCAGGGTGATAAAATTCCATTCTAAGAAGTAAACTCCTGGCTAAATAGCAAATGAAGACTAATCTTCTGCAAGCTAGATTAGGAATTAAATTCCTATCTTGCTTAATGTTCCCTTTTCCCCCTGGTTTTGTGGGGGATTTTGGTGTTCTGTTTTCATTTGATTTGGGCTTTTTTATCCTGGTTGGCCTTATGTGACTTTTGCACATGCCTAGGGTACACTGAGTTTAAAGTAAAAGTAAAAATGAAGTAAGTGAGCCAGGTTTAAAATTTTCATACTGTTTTAAGCTAAGTTTTTCTTAATTAAATCTAGGTAGCTTTTGCATGGCAATGAAGTCATTTTTTCTGTTTGGTTGTTTTCCATTTTTGAGAATTCAAGATATATAATTAATATGTAATAAATAACGTAATTCATAACTTTTTTCCTCATTCAAGTCCTTGTTATACTTTTATTTTTTGCTACATGGGAAGAACTAAAGTTGTTTCAGACTTACAGAATCCTGGAATTCTAGAATGGTTTGAGTTGGAAGGGACATTAAAGACTATCTAGTTCTAACTTTCCACTAAACCAGGTTGCTCAATTCCCTTGAGCACTACTTAGTTACTTGTTTATGCTAAATGGTTTGGGATTGTTTTCATTAAAAAAAATGCAATAACAACTGAAACATTAGCAGTCTGTGCTACATTTTAAAAGCTTAAATTGAAAGAATTTATCAGGTTTGTGTAGTGGAGTGATACAGGGATGAATGAAATAGCCTGTTAGAAAAGGCTGTCCTAAAATTGAGCAGAGATCTGTACCGGGAAATGTCTGCTTTGTATAAGTGATTTACATTTGATCTACGTATTTGCTTTAGTGTCCACAGAACTAAAGTTCTTGATTAATTTTATGTCAAGAACTTAAGAATGTCAATGAAGAATGAGATGGAGTAGTAGAAATGTACGAAGTATCTATGAATGATGATTTCCCTCTCAGCTAAATCTAGAAAGAGTTAGTAAATTCATTGAGACCATAACAAAATAAAAACAAATGTAGAATATTGCCTGAGAGTAAAAGCAAGAATATTAATGCAAATATCTGGTTGTAATAATCAACAGAATTACAGAATTAAGACTTTAAAAATAGATATTTGGGGAATCGATGAAATATGATTTAGGTGTAAGTTCCTGTTAGGTAGTGTACTACTTTTCCAGGAGGGTCTTCCTGGAGAGGACATCTCATTTTCCAGCCACTTTAAGATAAGTCACCAGGGATTGAAAAAAGTACTGTAGAAACAACTGCTAGAAACTGGAGAGGCTTCTTCCACAGCTAATGTGTGACTCTGCATCATACAAGAAGTATAATGAGATAGTAGTGTTGGAATCACAATTAATGAACTTCCTTCTTTCCGGCTGTTATTTCAGCAGACACTCTGTGATGGGAGATGAGACAGGCAGTCACCTTTTCGTTCTATGGAGGATGTGATATCAGAAATAAGTTGGACAGTAACTTTTTCTTATTATTCCATCTTTCTCTTTGTATTTATTGTACCAGAGTCCTTGCTCCAGTAAAGTGGAAAGGATGTGCCCTGCAGTTTGTGTTGCAGACCTGGTGGGAAAGACCTTTTCTGCCTGATTTTCTTAGGTGATAGGAGTCCAAAGCTTGCCTTACACATCAAATGTGCTATGACATTTTTATACAATAAAATCTAGTCTGTCAAATGATCTGGATGGACTGTTAAAGAGTCTTGGAAGTTTTTTCAAAGTGCTTTCAGAATCCACACCTGAATCCTTTTTGCTATCTTCATAAAAGAATTGATTAAGTCTCTGGTTTATTTTTGCAAGGCATGTTGGTCACAATAATGGATTAAGCAATAAACTTGCACATATATTCCTTTATAAGAGTTTTTTTGTGATAAGCTGAATGTTCAACATTAACATACATGTCTGAATAATAATTAAGGACAGCATAACCTATATGAATGCTCCTAATACTGAAATAAAGCAACTGTGTAGCTTTTTGGGAACAGGTGGCTTTTAAAATCCTCTAAAAACAGAGGATTGAATAATGAATAATGTTTTTTAAAAAAATTACAGTATAGATATATATGTGCAACATAAATTTTGGATTATCTTCCACAATCTACTCTTCTACAAGAGTAACAATATTTTTCAGTACAGGTGAGCTGATTTTAATTTCTTATTTGGCGGACAGCCACAGAAGTCATATCAGCAATCACCAGTGTTAATGAGACTGCTTGCAAGTAATAAATAAAGACTGTAGGAGCAGACATAATGATATTAACCATTGCCTCATTATGCAGTTATTAAAAGGCATATTGTACACTTTTCCCAGATGAGAGATGATCATTTCATTATCCTGGAAGATGAGAAAGAGATTTGTTGTTTTGCAATCATACTGTCATATTGATTTTTTTTTTCTAGAAAGTGATCACAAAACAGTTGGAGATATGTGATCTTGGTCTATAAAACTAATACCCTGTCATCTAGAAGGTAAGAAGCTGATATAAGATAAACTTACTACAGATAAAAGGAGTTCTTTTTGGGACTGGATATGCTGTGCAGAGGCCATGTCCTAAGATGTAATTCTTTAGTTGCAGTGATGATGCTTTTCCATGGAACATAATAAAGAAGTCAGTAAAGAGGGGCTAGGTGCTCATCTTAAAAGAAAAAGCAGAAGATTCTTTAGCAATTTGGACTTTAAAACTCTTATGCAGAAATGAATAAAGGGATAAAGGAATATGAGATTATAAATATCAAGATGTAATAAACCTGATTTTCCTTGAGTACTCTGGTAAAGTAATAGCCTTTTTATTAGGGTTAGCCTTTCCTTAAAAAATGTTTTGGAAATGAAAACTTTCATTTTTTGCAGGAAAATTGCAAGGGGATTACAATATCATGGATTGGAGCCAAAGGAACTTTTGTTCATGGTGATGCTCCATGCAGTCACATTCAAGTGACTTCTGACAGCAGTTAATTGCTGCATAATTTTTGATGATTAAGAAAAAATCCCATTCAAGTGAGTATATTCAGAGAGCAGGATCACTGTAGTGGCAATCCCCCTATGTCTGATCTAAATCAGAAACTGAAAGAAAGAAAAAAATTGAAAAAAAAAAATTGAATTTGCTGAAATTTGCAAACAATATGTTTTATTTGACAATAAATTTGCTTGTAGGCAATGTCTGTAGTAATAGCCCAATAGGACTGGAACAGTGTTTGTTGGTTGGGAATTGTATGCACTGCC